GCCCCTGCCCCTCCCCCTCCTCGCGGGGAGTGTCCGGGCGCGGCCTTGGCAAAGCCCCGGGAGCCGTGTGCCTGCCAGGGGTCGGGCTGTTCCTGCCTGTTCCGTAGGGCCTGGGGGCTGTAGCCCGCTTGCTCGGGGTCGCCTCTCGTAGCCGGCCGGCCGCCTCAGCGTGGGTTGTAGGCTGCAGCCCGGTTTTAGTCAGGCGAGGCTCAGACGAGGCTTTGAGACCCTGTCTGAAAATCCCGTGCCCCCCCTCTTCCTTCACACTGACTCCTTAAATTCAGTGCTGCCGGATTCCTCAGGGCATCGGGTGTGCTTCTAGCCAGCAGATAGGCGATTGATTTTCGCCTCCTCACGAGTTGTTCTGGTGCCTGTGTGTAAGTGTAGGTGCTGTTGGGGCCTGGGGTTTCTTTTCGTTTGGATGGAGGCGGTAATCTCGTGTCGCTGCCCAGCACATGACTCCGTCCCAGCAGCAGCTAACCTGGCCGCAGGGACACAGCGAGGAGGTGTTGAGCAATGCACAATGGATCGTCTGAGCAGTGTGGGCTCACAACCCTGTCCCCCCGCAAAGGAGAGGCTCCGGGAATCGGGACAGGCCTTCCTGACACCCGGCATGTGAGGATGAAGCTCGGGGAGGAAGGACAGAGCCGGAGTTCCGCAGGGTCAGACCGGGCAGAGTGTGTGCCTGCAGCAGCTTCTGCAGCACACAAAAGAGAGAGCCCCCAGAGCTACATTCAGGAAAAAAAAAAAAAAAATCAAAAAAAATCATTAAAAAAATGTTACTCTTACAGCTTTTTCAGCACTGGGTGGTTTCAAACTAACCTACCCCGTTTTACAGAGACAAAGACAAACAGAGAGAAGCTACCCTAACCCCCTCATTAATTGCACGTTTCTTCTGGATACCGCCTAAGACCTATAAAAAGGATATGAGAATATTTTTGCTTGTGGATCTCCCTTACTCTTTAGATAATTCCTGCTTCTGCCTACCTTCTGTTTTTACTTAAGTTGTAGCTTTTATTTTTGTTTGGCTTTCCACGAAGGGCTGTTTCTCAGTTCTACAATAATTTTAGACACTTCAGAAGTCAGGGGGTGCATATTCCTTTTTGCCAGCTGGTAAGTGAACTACATTTACCCTAAAAACTACTAAGCTGTGCAGAAAGCCATGCAAAGACTATACAGATAAAAGAAATAAAAGATTGGTTCTTGACACTGTATGCCAAAAGTGGAATGAATAAAATATTCCCGGGGCCTGCAGGTCCCTATGGGAAGAAGAAAAAGTAAATGGATAATAGCCTCAAATTTACTCAAGATAGTCGTCATTTCAGTGCCCGTTGAGCCCAGCCTGATTTGGAAATACACTGTCTTTTGAATAAAGACATTCTAACAGTTTGCTCATCTTCAGCTTAACAACAAAATATCTCCTTTTGGCCAACTCCGTCATTAAATGTACTTCTTAGTTTTCACAAAAGATAAAAATTCTTTAAGAGGGTTTTGTTGTTTTTAATATATCATTGTTTTTTATGTATCAGCAGTAAGTAAAAAATTTCCAAAACAAAGTATCTGTGGAAGCAATGTAAACATGAAAAAGCATGCTTTTAAAATAAATTCAAGCCTTTTATTCCCCTTGTTTTAGAACTCCCCTTAGACTTAGACTGTTCAGAATAATGAGTTCCTATGGCTCCCTGCCAAAACCTTGAAAAAAAATCAAGGTTTACTCTCATCAGGAAACTATGAAACATAACCAATGGCATGCCATTGTTTGTCACAAAAAAAAAAAAAAAAGAAAAAAAAAAGTTCTTTGCAGTAATATAAATGGGGATAGCTTTGAAATAATGATTTTTTTAATTATTTTTTTTTACAATTGATTTAAATACTGCCAATGGTAAAGCACAGGAAACTTGTCAGGTCAGCTTAAAATTTATATTAATTATGAAGAAATACAGTATTGGTTTCTCGGCTCTGGTATTTTTTATCCTGTTCATTTTCTGTTTTTCAGGGCACAGTCTGGCCTGTCAGAGCCCGTCCCACTGAGCCCAGCCAGGGAGGAGGGCAAGCTCAGCACAGCCCCAGCCCTGGGGCATCAGGCACCTGTGGGGACAGGGATGGGTCTAGGCCAGGCTGGAACACCAGTCCACGTGTGGTGGTCAGGATCAGGCCCCATGAAGGGAGTCAGCATCAGGCAGAGCTGACCATGCACCTCTAATGTTTTTCTACCTGCTCATTTGGTGTGAGAAATAGGCATCTTTAGAATCTTTTTGTCAAAACTACTATCATGTCCCTGGTACTATCCTGACTCACTGGCTGCACCTGTCTATTAAGCTTGATATTTCAGGATCACTGGCTTGGAACAACTTGTTCCAAGACTGTCTCAGAGTGAGTTATATATAATTTCTCTTAGGTATTGAATGCCAGTTCTATAAAAGGTGTTGAAGATCTATGAAAGGTGTTGAAGAAACAGTCTGTGGTTTTATGTGAGTTTTATTTTGTCTATTTTTTTACAAGTCACTTACTTATATTTTTCCCTTCAGTACATGAAAACCATGCAGTTGGATGATTGTGTCAGTGTTGTTTTGTTGGGGTTTTTTTTTTTGATGGTACTACCTCTGGAAGATGTCCCGCTATAACTAAAGCTTTATTAAGTTCAGGACAGACCTTAAATTATATCCTATAAGCTGCACTTATAATAATAAGGATTGCCTTTTCAAGGGCAGATGAGTAATTTATAGTATTATTCCTACCTTTAACAGGAGGAGCATATTCTTTTGGTGTTAAAACCTGTCTAAGCCTTTTCCACTGATCCCCTTGCAGCAAGCTGGGGAAGATCTGCCATACTTGAAAATATCCCACCCTCCTTCTTCCCTCCCCAACCCCCCAAAATAAAAACCTAAAGCTCATAGCTCACAATGTTATAATTTCATGTATGACTTCTAGTGGCTTATCTGTTTGTAACATACCCTTCAGCTCTCCAGCCCAGCTCCCTGCCCTGTATCTGCACTGTTTCCGGCCTGTGCCAGCGTGAACATTTGTGAAATCAAGCGATAAATGAGATTGAACTGAGAGGACCAGAGAACAACCTGCTTTCCTTCCGTTTTGCTGATCCAGTTCACCAACATAATAAATGTGTCAGCGTGGCACAGAGGACAGCACAGGCACAGCTGAGAACAGGCACAGCTGAGAACAGGCACAGCTTAAAAGGTCTTGTTCTGCTGCAAGTGCACACCCAGGCGCTGACTTGCTTTGTTGTTTAGTGCCAGTTCAATGTCTCCTTGAAAACACTCCCAGCACCCCTGACACCTCCAACACTGGAACTCTGTGTCTCAGTGGGTAATTCTGTGAGTCATCTTGTCATAAACTTGGGCTGGACCATGGTGTTTGTCTCCAGCAAGGGTTGGGCTTATGGCATTATGGTATAATGTGATGGCAATTTTTGGTCTCTCTTCACCAAATCTTTCACAAATCCATTGTTTCCAGTGACACGATTGAGGAGTCACTTTCATTTGCATGTTTATGGGTATTTTAACTCCTTTTTTCAATAGTGAAAACCCAATAATCTTCATATATGTAATTATGTTGCAGTTATTACTGGTTCCTCTTTCCTTGGAGTTTGATCTGTAACCTCTGTAAGTTTGCAAAACAATATGCATAGAGGATGTCATCCGCAGATTCTGTACTGAGCAGGCCAGTCATGTCTTGCTGACAGACGAGTTCTCAGAGCCAGGCTAGGAGGCCTTTTAATGCAGAATGGAAAGCATCCCATGCTAACTTTATCAAAAGATGCATTGTACTCCATAGAGATGGTTGCAGATGCTATGAGATTATTATCCAAAGCCTTGGAAAGCTCCCTGAATTCACATCCCTTCTGTGCATTGTGTTTATTAGAGGATGCGATAAATGCCATCACTGTGTTACACAAGACCATACAATAATAATTGGAACTGGCTGGGAAGTGAAATTTTTATTCTGCAGGAAATTCCAGCTTGTCAATATTTTGTTTCATCGAGTGCTGGAACAAAACATGTTGGCTCTGCAGCCTTTCTGGCAAAAATGGAACTATCGATTTCTTTGCCAGCTGACAAGCCTGGGAAGCCAAGAAACCAACTGAGCAGTCGGCCTGATGCCAGGGAGCTGTATAGCCAGTCAGCTGAGCTACAGTAAGAAGCCGTGCTGGCCAGCAGCCACAGCCAGATCATGGCTAGAGCTTCTGTAGAAAGTTTGGATGGAACCAGGGCAATGCAGAATTCCAGTGCCAATCTGTTCAATTAGAAGATGGCCAAGCACCCTCTCAATAATTGACTTCTGTCAGGAGAGGATGTAACTCTACTGCACTTTCTGTTCCTTATGTGTTTCTTTCTTCAGCTTTTGCCTTGTGACTTAGGCACATACCTATTGCTTGTATGAGAAGATTAAATCCAAGAACTTTCCTTAAGGATTAGTGATGATACCCAAACCCATGAGGGAGTTTTCAGAGTGTCCCTCATTGCTAGTTTTGTGATTGTCATTCAGATAACCTTGTGTGTCAGCAATACCTCATGGTATCTGCCTGTGTATGCCCTGCTAATGAGAGTTACACAGTTATTGCAAGCAGTACTGTGTGAGATTGGAGTAAACATTTGTCTGCTATCAGATAATACAGTCTCCTTGTCTTCATCCCATATTTGCAGATGAATTTAAGATAAACTTGCCAAAATGCAATAACGAGGCAAAAATGCCTTCTGAACTATGGAAGTGATACTGATCTTGGGAAGTCGGTGATGTGGAGGCCAACACTGATATGGAGGGCACCCTCCTCTGTCAGCACTATCTGTGCTCAAGTCCTGAAACTGTTTGCTCAGTGTAACCCTTAACCTAAACTTTATTTCAGGATTCTTGCAATGCTCCAGTTATTTTTCCCTTTTGTTGTATTTCTGGAAAGGTATCAGACCAGTTTGTAAAAAAAAAAATTATATCTTTGCCCTCTTGCTGTTCACAGTTATGGCACCATCATAAAAGATATCTGCTGCTTTTTAATGTTTAAATAATTTCTATTATAGGAAAAATCTTTCCTTATTCTTTTAATAATTTCCTTATTAATAAGGAATTATTAATTCCTTAAATCTGCAGACATGATGCACGCTGTACACATCTCTTGTTTGTTTTCAACCAGTTACTGTCTGTACTTCTTCTTTAAAGGCCACAGATGTCATATACCATCCTTACCACAACTGTGGTAACTCCAGGGAACAATGAATTTCCTTGTAAATGTTCACTGGTAATTAAATTTTCTGCAACTTCATCTCTTTAAATAGTCTCTAATATTCCTGCTGTGAAATTAGAGGAAAACCAGATGCTATACTGAGACACATTTCAAATCTTGTGCCTTCCACATGTAAACAAATTTGACTTACTGTCTCTCTTGAATTCAACTGCTGCGGAGATGCTACAGTATCTGGCTTCCAAATGAATTCAGTGACCTTTCAATTTTCTAAGCATAGTCTGGTTTACTGCTGGTTTAACAGTGTTTATTCTTGAACAGGAAATCATTTTCATAGTGAGTATTTTCTCACAGTGAAAATAGTTTAGTGTAATGTTCATGATGCATTTTCTCCTTCATTTCTGCTGGAGTTGTTGCACAGTGTGCTGTGTGCTGCTGCAGCATATCCTGAAATGTACTCTTCATCTCAGATGAAATTACTCCAGCATATGTTTAAGGTTTAAGTCAGTCTCAATATGACCATTTGGCTTGTCTTGTTTATATTCCACACATGAGTAACTGCTGCTGTGTGTCATTCGAGTCCTTCTGATTCTCGATTTCCTCAGTGTTGCCGCATACTTAGAGATGATTTAATTTCCCCTCTGATCCCATCTATAATAGAAATGCTCTTTAAACATGAGCATGCCTTAATTATAGCGTTTCTGTCTTTTTCCAATAAAATATTGGCTGGAAACTACCAAGTCCTTACATGTCTTGGTGACACCTTTTCAGCAAGATAGAAATATTGATAGCTTTTCCCAAAAACTAAGAAAAAACAGGAGTGACAAGGAAACCATCACCTAAGACAAACTAGAAGTGCCTCATCCCTCCATCCACATGGGCTGTAATACAAAGGATCCTGAATACCTCATGTCAGAGAGAGGGGATTTTTATCATGTGGGGTAGTCATTGTGAAAAAGTCACTGTACACTCCATTCCAAGGGCTTCTTTGTAACTTATTGTTTGAAAGCAAAAAAAAAGCTTGGCCAAAATGGAACACAGAACAGAAATACCTAAAAGAAATTGTATGAGTTCCTCCCTACCACTGTAAGATTGCTGAGTAGCTGTTTCTGAGCTACCTTCACTGAAGGCAATTTCATTTTCCCAATGAAATTTTTGTATGTTTCTCAGCACAGAAATGTTACATTTACACGATCTACTGAGAACCAAATGAATTTCATTTTTAAACTGTTTTGAAATTGAAACTCACTTGATTGACACTGTAAATTGAGTTTTTCAAGAGTCAAAATGTAGCTAAAAATTATACATTCTGGTAACATTGTATTTTACTAGGTACTTCAGCTCATGTACCATTGAAGTATTAGTTACTCTTGTAATTATGGAAGTTAACTTTTAACTTTGTTGAAAGGAAAGTATTTTCTTTGTGGTCACTTACGCTTTAAAGCTGTGGAGATAGATATAAATACAATGTAAATATATATTTTAGTATATGAAGTCAAAATCTTTTTAATCAGTCAAAAAGGGATTCATCCATTGCCTTTTTGCTCAGTTGCAAGAAACTGCATTAGGAATATTTGAAAACATAATAAAAGTGTTTTAAAATCAAATTGTTTGAACTTCAGCAATGTGTCATCATTTACAACTGATAAGACATTGTTCTGCCTATAAATGAATGGAAAATGAGAATTAATATTTGCTTTCAGATAACTGCCTGGGTCATACATTACATAATAAAACAGATGTGCTATAGATAAACCAGAATTTGATCCTGAAAGCTGGGTTGTATTAATTTAATTGCCAAAAAGTTTCCAGAATTACCAGCAAATTTAAATTTCATCAGCTTTGAATACATGGAAATGTTGAGGCTTATTTCTGCAAGTTGGTTATCTTGAGAGATTGCAGTCAGAAGGTTTATTGACAATTTTCCTGCTACTAAAAGTTATGTAAGGATTGACCAACTGTGATTTTCTGTTCCCTGGGGGCAATGAAGGTGGGATACAGGAAAGAAATTAGTGGCTGAAGCATTGATAATATTTATATCTCTTTATGCTTAAAGGTCTATGATAGTCAAAAGTGCTGAACTTATCATATGAGTATGATAAAACCACTGAAGGGTAAGTTACAATAACATATTGATGATGGATTCTTTAGTAATACACCCTTTAAAACACATTATACCAAAGGAGAAAAATGGAATGGATTTCCCCTACAAGCTCAGCTTTACTATTTTTGTACCAGAAAACAAAGTTATATTGATCTGATTTAGGTCATTCATTGGCAAAATGTGTTCATTTTTCAGGCCATCAAAAGGTTTTTTTGTGGTTGAGAGCTGATGGATATGAATTATTTGTGTAGGGAAGAACTCCAGGGTTTCAGAAGAATCACAGAGGACTTCACATGAGATTCCTGTTAGGAAGCAATCCAATGTTTTGTTTTCCCATCTTGGTTCCCTCAGGCTCTGGCAAGACAGGTTTGCTCAAAGGCACCCTTTCTCCTCCTGTCTCTTTCATTATCCAGGAAGGAGGAGCCTTTTGCAGTTTTGTAGCTTTAGGACTCATCTTTCCCTATCACAAAAATAGAAGTTTAGGGGTTTTTTTTATGAGGGACACTTTTAGAACACACAAGGCCACTCCTGATAGCTGGTGTGTGAAATGAGAAATGTGCCAGGATCCAGAGTACAAATTATAGCTTCCTCTCTTTTGGCTTGTTTTTAATTCAAGGCTGGTTATTTTGGTCCCCTTCTGTCTCAGGTGTGCCAGGGGAGGATACTTTTCTATGTAAATTCATTTGATGAGATTGCAGAAACCTGATATATATTAATGATTGATTATAAGGCTGGATTTCCAAGTAAACTTGATTACAGCTTTATAGGTGATGAGTTTAAAGATACTTGAAAACTTGAAATTAATATTTATAACTAATATGAATAATAAATTGCAACAGCACAGCTATATGGTGTATTTGAGAGTAGTATATATGTGTATGTGAGTGAAAAATACACACTGTGCTAGAGAAAATATAATATGTTCATTAAAATAAAGTGTTCTGCTGAGGCTTTTTAGTGTGGGTGTTTTCCATTTTCTTTCAGGAAAGATAATGATGCACACTGCAGGTGAAGAAGACTTTCAGGATGATACAAACCTATGTGAAGTGATCCTAAGTCAAAAGGAAAGTTCTGCCAACAAGAAAAAACACTGAGGAGCAAGACTGCAGCTTTTTTGTTTTGAAAGAAGCATGTTTAGAACTCTTTTTCTGTTAAACTTCCTACCACTATTGAAATGTGAGGATTTCCATCCCAGATTCAACAGTCCAGCCTGTATTCTTGACAGTAAACAAAAGATATGTGAAGGTGCCCATTATCTAATGCAGACCAAATATAGGAAACATTTATTTGTAACTTCTGTCATTTAAAAATTTTCTCTAGTTTTAGTCTCTTAGTCTAAGACATAGCTTTTCCAGAAATGTTCTTGTTTGTGATTCAGATTGATTCTCTAGGTAGTGTTAAATTTCTTTTTTTCCCCCCCTTTTTAAATAAAAATAAGAGCTCTATAAGTCTTTATAAGCAGATTAGAATGAAAAGTTACTGATTTTTCATTTTAACTAAGAGGCTAAGCCCCTACATTAAAAGAAGAATATTGCCAAATACATTGGCAGCCATGCAGGACTGAATTTAGCTGTGGTATACAATATCCAGGGCTACATAGCTCAGTATTTACACTTCTTACACATGCACAAAACACCCCAAACTCACCTGTCACAGAGAGATTTATACAATTTATACAAAACAAAATTCACACAGGATTTACCTTCACCAGAATTTGGACATTCTGTAAGTGCCACAGGACCATTAGGAGCAGCAGGTGTCTGAGTCTTCTCCTTGTCTCAGTGGGAGGAGGAAAGGAAGCTCCAGCAAAATGCTGGGATAAAGTATCTTCCTGGGACACTGGTTACATGTCTGGTCATACAGCTACAGAATTAGTAACATCATTCCAGGCTGTGCCTTTGCACTTTCTTTGGAGATGTCACATTCCAGTATGGATACTACTGGCTCATCATTTTTTAATAGCCCATATAAAGGACTGAGGCATACTTTTCTCTCTTATGGTGCCCTGTGTCAATCTGGAGGATGAGAAGCTGTCAGTGTTTCTACCTTAATTCTCTTTTTCTCTGGTGAACCTGAGGATGCAGTTTCTTCCAGCTTGCTGCTGGTGGTGAAAAGGTAGTATTGTCCTCTCTTTCCCTTTTGTCTTTCCTCTATTCTCCCAGTACTGCCTCCTCACTGGGGCACTCCTGGTGCTAGATCCTTCTGCCCTTGGCTTATTTAATTAATCCAGCAGATCCCAACCACACTGTCACGTTCCTTGATGCTTCTTGGCCATATTAGGGCACTCGTGCTGGTTGACAGAGGGGTCTGACAAAACCCAGTGCTGAAGCAAAGCAAGTAGCAGAGAGCCAGACAGGAAACAGGCCTGTGAAGTCAACAACCTAAAGTTTCTGTTCTATTAAGTTGCATTGTGGCACTGTGTGTTTTGAAAAGTAGGTGAGCAGCTCCGTGGTTTGAAGGGAGTGAAATGAGGGAGGGAGCAAACCACTGTGCTGGCAGTGGGCTTCTCTCTGTGCTGAACCTCTGCGAGCACTAGGTGGCCTGCTTTTAAAGGAAATGGGCAATCCCATCTGTTTCTGTGTGAGAGAAGATGAAAAGTACAATTTGCACAAGTTGTGCATCTATTTTTTACATTATGCTAGTCATGCTAAAACTTCATCACCTCTGTAAAACTCTAATCCTGTGTCAGAAGGAAGAGACACCACCAGTGCTGCCCTCAAAGACACCGAGGCCAAAGGAGAATGGAAGGCAAGAGATGCAGCTGATCTGCAAAGTGTGAGATTCTGACACAGAAACTGCATTTTAGCTGCAGTATTTAATATCTTCTGGGAAAGTCCTCCTAACAGTTGTAATTTGTCTCTCACAAAGAATGACTTCTATTCTGGGCCAGTAAAAAGAGTCAATGCAAAAGGAAAACTTTGATTCAGTATACAGGACTTGAACCACTAAATAAAGAAAAGATCAATTAATATTGAAAGCAAACAAAGCTTTGGTGAAATAGTGATTTAAAAAATTTCAACACCATCATTACACATATCTTATGCTTACTGATACCTTAAACATTAGAGTCACTCAGTGCCCAAAACTAAGGTGCATCAGAATTTTAACATGGCATGCACCCTAAAAGTCTCATTTTTCTCTGTTTAATTTGGGAGGAGGAAAATTGATGGCAGCAACAAGTGAGCCTGGAAGATAGAATGGGAACAATAATGGATGGGTAAAATGTCATGTAACATCTTTTCAGCACTGTGATTTCTCCAGGCAAACCCCCTCTACCAACCCAAAGGCAACCATGGTCAGATTCCCACAAATCACAAAGCGAGTAGGTCTACAGAGGATAGGAATCTTCTCTAAATTAAGAAAAAGTATTCTTTCTTTCTACTCCCCCAGGGATTAGTCTGGATATCAGAAGAATTTAAACTGGGTATTTGCTAAACCAATGTAAAAGAACCACAAGGGTTTATGTTTCAAGTTTTTCTCCATTTAATCCAGCAAGGGAAGAAGTCTATAACAAAAACCCAGATTTCCCAGCCAGCTAAGAAAACTGAGGACATTGAATCTTGTTTTCAAAATAAATATGTTTTGAGAGGGGATTTCTATTGAAAAAATAATCCATGATGCATTTTTTATCCTGGTAGTAAATGATACAATAATTTAATTTCTATTTAAAAACTAGCACTTCCATCAAACCTTAATTGAGCTTAATCAGTCATTAACAATGGTTCTTATTGACTGAGAAATAAATGGTGATTGATTGGCCTGACATAATTAATTGTTATTGTAGTTTTCAACAATTTAAGTTCCTTTGTCCAGGCTACTCTTTCCACAGTGTTTGAAAGATTTAATTAATACTCCTGTCAATAATTTAAATAGGCTTAGGATTCTGGGAATTACAGAGTAGTCATTTTCATGGCCAACTGGTCACAGAGCAATATATTGAAATTTTAATTCTGAGAACATTTGATTTGTAAAGCAGTATATACCTTCCTAAGACAACTCTATGAAGGTTTTACACTGCAACTGTAAAATTTATGCTGTTCATTCCTTGATGTTTTGGTGGAGCAGAGCTGGCACAGATATTGTCTCCTCCATCTCTCCCTGTGTAGCTGCCTCATTCCTTTATAAATTCTCTAAGGAACATATTTGATTTTTATTCATATATAAACACATTCAATTATTTTATTTTGATGAAGTAAGATAATAAATGAAAGATGTGAAAACATTTTTCATCAAACATCATGCTGTTTGATGCTCTTCCTCCTTGATTCAGAACGCTGCTCCTGTCCCTACATTTCCTTGGGTTTACGGTCTATGGAGTACCTGAAAGAAGATGCCCAAAACACAGTGGTGTGGAAAGTGGGGGCCCAAGAGAGAGGAAGTGAGAGATGGAATGCCAGAGCAGAATTATCTAAGGCTCATCTTTGTAGAAAGTCAGTGCTCAAAAAAGGAAACTCATTTTACAACTTCCTGTTTCATTAAAGTGCTTGGGTTTTAATTTCAGGAAGGGGTTTCCCACACACTCCAGGTAAGGCACTCTCCTCTAAACTGCCACTCCACCTTGGATGAGGAGCTGGCCCCAGAACCCACCTGCTTCTCCCACAGTTTACAGAAGCTGGTGAAGGACGAAGAACAGCATGAAAACCTTACTACCAAGCTTTTAGTGCAGGTACTCTGAAGTGGCCTCTGAACCTACAATTCTTAAAAAAAGCAGCTTCCCTTCACTCGAAAAAAAACATGTTTTGGGAACAGCTCCATGGCCTCTTCAATGTCTTGAACATTTTTTCCTCTTTATTCACCTGAAAATAGCCCCCTAAGATTTCTGATAGACTGGATTAATGCTTTTAAGCAAGTTATTTGGAAAACAAGCCATCAGGCATAATCAGAAGAACATACTCTTACACTACTTGCAGGTTCCTGTGTGACTTGACCTTCAGAGTAGTGATGGCTTCAAAAGCGGGTTGGAAACACTGTGCCCAGGAAATCTGAGCAAAGCTGTGCTCCCTCAGAGGGAGGGAAAACACACCATAGGTTGAATTATTACACCATTAGCAGATTAAGATTATTATTATTATTATTATTTATTATTTATTATTATTATTACTACAAGGGCCATGCTTTAGGGATTCAGAGGTATTACATATCTGATTCTAATTAATGAACTGCTCTACTCAGAAGATAGCCTGACTGCAAGGAGAACACATATCTGCTGTTAAATTAATGTCACTAGGTAGCAGATGGATTCTGATTTTTATTTTTTTTAATGAAATTGAAGAAAGGAAATTGAACTTGGCAAAGTGCAATTGGGAAGTGACAGTAGGTATCTGAGAAGGGCTGAAGCCTTTGAGGCTTGGGAGATGCAAATAGCAGCAAAAGGGCAGAGGGGAGGAATGAGTTCAGAGGGGCAAGTGCAGGCACAGCTGTGCACTGCTGTCAGGGAAAGGAAATGGAAACTAAAGCTAGAGCAAAAAATCCCACTGCCTCAGTGAGGCATCTGCCACATCCCAGGATGTCCCATTTCATCACCATGACATTTCTCATCTGTCTCTCTATAAAAAGAAAGATATACTTCCGTGTAGATCCCCTCGGTTCTCATCTGAATGAGGAGGGCATGGGCCAGCTGCTGCTTTCACTCTTCTGTGAGCATTTGGCCAGGACAGAAGCTACTGCACCTGCCTCGTGTTTTGTCATGCTTTCAAGACACATTCAATCCATGACATCTTCTTACCATTAGATGGCTGGGGATGATTAAGGCCATGGCTCCACTGACATACTTTATTTTGAAAAAGTGTAAGTATGATCAGAACTGCATTTCTGTCATTAGGAAACAGTCTGCAATAACTCCCAAGGAAATGGGGCAAACAACTAGTTAAATACACGGCCAATTCAGACTAATGTCATACTCCTATATCTGCCTCCAGAATGGGCAGATTTTAATCTAAATGCAAACTTTTAGTGGCCTGAATGGCATAATTTAAAAATAATTTTTGCTTCTCACTTTTTACCTTGCTCACTGTTCCAATATTTTAATATTAATATGAAATGTTAATACTGAACCTGTTTCATTTTTCCCTTGTAGTTTATCATGCCATCCCCACTAAACCTCTTTAAATAATTTGCTACTAGATGTTGTTTTAGACAAGGCATCCATGCCACCCTTTTTGATAAAATAATTCTGGGCAATTACTCTGTTAAATTTGCTTCAGCATTTCCAATTTCAATGCTTGTCTGTCTACAACCTTTTTTTTTTTCAGAATTTCATTAATTTAGTGATAGGAATTAAAAGTTAGCACAGTTTCAGACTTCATATCAGCTATTTGGTGCTGCTGACATGAACGGATTGATTATATGCCACAAGTACTAATATGTGGTATGAACAGTTAATTTACCAAAGTTTTCTCAAAATTTTTAACCTCCCTCAGTGCATCTTCCAGGTTAAGGCTTACAGTCCAACTACTTTTTTTACATTCTTTGAATTCATATTCTCAGAAAACTAATTTATGGTCAAGATGAACTGTGGGAAGCCTACCTTACTGTGCAGTCTAACTTCTAGAAGAAATTCTGGAGAGTTCCCGGTGTTCAAGCACCATCACACCCAGTCTCCTCATGTACTGCAGAGTGCCATCCCTAGTGGTGTCTCCTGCTTTACCCCTTGAGTTATTTCTCCTACTACAGTCTCTCATTTATAACACAGCTTTGATTATAGAAACCAACCATTTCAGTTTGGTTAAAGAAATTGAATCCTCCCAAAACACACCTAAAATTAAAGTACAGGCTTCAATCCTTAGAGAACTGTAAGCACCTGGAATTCATGGTGCATTAGACCCCTCAGCACTGACCTTTAAGCTTTCTGGGTTATCCATAAAATTGCCTCTCCAGTGTACGATCATTCAGGACAATGGGATCCCAACCACAAGACAGCTTCATCGATCACAAGATTACAGCTTTCATGAGCTGCCTTAGGTTCCTGCACGCTGTAATTTTCCTTCTGTATCTGCCAGTGATTGTGGTTACTTTCACATCACATCTTGTGCAAAGTACCAGTCTAGCACCTCAGTGACCTACAACACAGCAGCCGATGCTTGCCTGCAGAACGGCCCTCTGGAATCAACGCCCGTGAGTGTTTGTCAGGGTTGGTGCTAGGGAGGCACAGCCCATACTGCTGGGGAAAAAATGTGTTTGTTTTACTACCACTTACTCCTGGAAAAATGGAGGCTACTGAATGCTGTGTTTTAATGGCTGATGTTACCATAGGTGCAAATACAAATCTGTTTTTACACTTAATACGCTGTGTAGCAGCAAGATCCAGCGGAAGATCCCTGCAAACGTAAACACCTACATGCACAAGTGACCTGCTTGCATCTGGGTTTGCACATAGCCATTTAGAGGATGTATAAGAGCTGTATTCAAAGCCCTCAATTTAAAACAATTTTCAGGCAGTCCCTGGTAGACTGAGTAGAAATGACGCTCAATAGTCATTCATCCAAATTTTATGTAGTTTTAATGCAGAGAGTTTTCTTTTAAATTCCAAAGTCTTAGATTGTGTCAAGAAGTTGCCATTGTATTGATTTTGATGGGGAATTCTGGTTTGGATTTGATGACATTGGTAGCAGCCCACGTTTTGAGTGGATAACATCTAAAATTCAATGTCATGATGTTCAAGTATTTCCACTGATTTCTAGACACAAAATAAATTCAAGGACTTATATACATTGAATGCATTCTGTTTATTTGAGAAGGAAGATCTCATACGAGTGCCTGTTATGGAGGGCATCTCTTATCAGGTACAATAAAATCAACCATTGCTTCCAGCAGAATACAAAAATACACATCTCAGTGACTTCCATACAATAATAAATATGTAATCATGCATCCAACAATAAAAAGGCACGGAAAACTGGTCACTTAGTAGTCATAAAAATTACTAACTATATTAACAAAGCCACCCAAATTATCTGTACAAGGAAATGTAACAATATATTCCAAAGGTGAAAACACATAAAACATCTTTAAAATAGTATATGCAATAAATACCTCAATTGTTTTTATATATTAAAAATAAAACTGTGCCATTGTAAACAGTATGTAAACAAACAAAATTCACTGTTCCTTACCATTATTACAAGTAAATAAAGCCAAAAGTTACACCCCTGCTCTGTTAGATATACTTCATTGGCAAGTTTTGTCAGGCAGTTTAAAGTTTTACTCTTTTCTGCAGCAAACAGAGCCTGCTATGTGTGTAATTCTAAGTATTAGAGCAATTGCTAAGCTTCAAAACTGACTACCCAGGATGTAGTAGCTCATCAAAGAGAACTGGAACTAGGAAAAGCAATTCTTGCAGTGTTATGGACAGAAGTAATTTATTTTTACTACATATAATAGTGTGGGTAAAACTCAGCGGTTTATATAACACTGCTCTCCTACAGGACTCGAGGGGGCTGTACAGAGGTGGTGAGCATCCCTATTCCCTTGGGCGGAGAAAGTGAGGCACTCAGAGGTTAACTACGCTGCCCCCAGCCTTACACCAGCTCCACTGGCAGGAAACCAAAGGCAGAATCCAGACCTTCAGCCACTTCCTCCTCATTTCCTCTGATATCACATGGCCTTGCAGACAAATAAAGGTGTGTCCTGAGCTCCAGTCCTGATTAGAATTGCAGAAAGGCAACCAACACGCAAAAGGAAAGATGTCTGCTGGCGTCTGGCCCCACTAACGACCACGAAACCTTGCCACCAAGTGAGGCAGGAGCACCATAGGAACTTTTTCCCCACTAATCTGTGATCAGATCCACATTAGCAGACTAATGAGCCCAGACAGAGCCCTGTGTATCCTTAGCAAGCCTACTGATTGCCTTAAATGTTTATTCTTTTGAGGCTGTTTCTACAGCCAACAAACTCCTAGAAAGTTCAACCAAGGTGCATACTTCCTGCTTATTAGCAAGGGGAAGGATAGGAATCTGAATATGATCCTTCCTTAAACTAAATTATAGGGAAAGATTCCCAGAAGTGGTGGGCATTTGCACAGATGTCTTCAGAAAGAGCCTCATGAAGGAAGGTGTCTGGTGTCTGCTCTGTTATTTCTTCAGCTTCTGATAACTTTGACATAACTACCTCATTTTACGAGTCCGACTATCCCTGGGATGACTATCTATGATAAATATAAACTTACCTGTTCCCAACACATATATTTCAAAGTGCATGACAGCTCCTGTTTGAAAATTGTATTTTAGCCTTAGGTGAAGAAATTAGGATGCATCTACTTGGCTGTTTCACAGCCATATGGTTTTTATACAGGAAGAATACACTTTGAGCATACATAATTAGAAGATACCCTGAAAAGGGATTTAGGAAGCGCTGCATTATGATATTTTTCTCCCTTGTGCTATTAAAGAACTGATCCTTCTGCCTTCAGACAAATGATTTCTCTAATGTCAAGCAGTTGTCTGACTTGCCTTTCCACTTAACATTTTCATAATTTTAACTGATCCACGGAATATTAAAAATCATTCAATGCACTGGTTCTGAAGATACCTCCAAGTCTTGATGAAAAGCTTAAAGCCACATACTTACTATGTAACATTTTTTTCCCCAATAAGATACTTTAGGATAAGGTACTTCAAGTGTCTCATACCAGATCTGCAGAGACAGGTGAGATCAGTAAGTACAGAAAACAGACAGGACTACTTTTCATTCATCAGTGAATACTTCACATTTACCTGCCACATTGCATTCCCTCTTTGTGGAGAGTGGCATGAAAGGTGATCTCTTTTTAGATGATTCTGTATTAAATCTTACAAAAGTTATTTTAGAAGGTATTTTCTTAGACATATTCAAGGACCAGATCAATGAAAAACTCTGTACATTCTCTTAGGCATATATTCCCACCTGTGTTGTAGTTTGCAGGTTCCATAGAAAAATCCAAATAGAAACTGCAGATTTCACATTGGGAAAAAATAAATACATTTCACTCATTAAAAAATTATCACAGTAGGAAAATAGCCAGTAAACAATAGATTCAGAGGGGTTTAATCTTGGCCCCAGTGAGATCAATGGGAGTTTTGCCAAGGATTTCAAAAAAGCCAAAATTTTACCCAGAATCACATACAATTCTTTAGCTGACAACGATCATAAACATCCTGCCACCCCATTGTATAAGTTAAATATTAATAAGCAACTGTAAACATCCTGCAATTCATCTGATATAAAAAATACTATAATAAAAACAATGCAGCATCTCAAGCACTGTATAGTTTTAAGTTTTTTTGGCTCTACACACAAGTTGGCATCATTATATTGAGCAAAACCAGGGTATGTATATACATCTCTATGTACAGGTGTGCTCTCACATACACACTACGAACTAGATACGACATATCTACTATACACATCCACACAAATACTGGCAAGAGAATGACGTTCATAGGTATGGCATATAAAAGCCTACCCATGATCAATGTGAGGATCACTTTTATATGAGGAGCAATTTCCCTCCAAGCAAATCATCTGTAGACTTACATGTAAATGCTACAAGAACAAGAATCTCCAAGGGGCCTAAAGTACTGTTTAAAGCACAGCATATGCCTTAAGTCCCTAAATATCTATATGATTGCAAAGATGATGGACTTTCCTGTGGAATGAACGGGAAGAAGGGGAAACAAAGGGCAGAAAGTACTGAGTACACACCACTTTTTACCTAAAGCCATGCAAACCACATTAGATGTTTTCATTTTCTATTGAATATAGGTTTGGATTGAGTGGAAATCATGTGTTTCAGCTCTTTGCTACAAACTGCCATTTAGACACATATATATGAGTTATGCAGAGCACTGTCATATCTCTGCAACACTTCCATGTGTACTTCATGCATCCACTCATGCATGTAAATGGATGTTACTACAGAACTACCTAGCAGCTGTACTTGACTGGAATATCAGTGTAAGTTGCAAGCCTGGCTAATGACAGAAACTACCCATGCTGGCTGGGATCCTCTCAGAACCTTTGAAATACCTTTACGTGAAATGTACCTTTCTTAGATGCCAGAACACATATTAAAAATGCATTAATGCAATTCCACAGTGCTCAACATTTGAAGATACCTGCTCAAGACAGACAGATGTGACAGCGAAGAGTTTTGTTAGTAGAGACTGATAGGCTTGCCGTCACCAAGAATTAAGACAAGGAGCTTCTAATATTATATGACATTAAATTATTTGTGTGTGATGACACCAACAAAGAAGAACCAGAGGGAAAGTGCAGAGATCAGGCCCCCTTCACCTTTCAGGAGCACCTCATCTGCCACTGTGAATATCACCTTGCCCTTTGATGATCACATCAACATACAAGCATATTAAATTCCTAAGGTAACTGGCAGCTCTAGGGAGGTCTTTTAGGATTCAGCTCTTTTAGGATTCCAAGGATATGATGTGGAAAGGTGGCTAATGAAACAAATTATCTCAGGACTGGTTCACAAGATGTGCTCCTTGAGTGGGAAAAATGGTAATTTTTGTCATATATGGACAATCATATTTTTCAAGGTACCCAGTTTAAGGAGACATAGAACCAAGACAGAAATAGGACACCACAAGTGACAGATGGTGCCTGTAGAAAATCCTCTGGAATGTGGCTAAGCACACAGTCCAAATGCCTGTTTCAACATATAGCCATGGCATCTTTTGGGAGGACAGTGCTACTAGGAACCTTCACACTGAGAATCTGTATGCCTGTGTGCTCCTGTGTGCTCCTTCCTGAACTATCTAACTAGAAAATCTTGCATCCTTGAAATTCTCATTAGAAGCCTCCAGGCCCCACTTTTCAGCAAACATGCTCTCCCCATCACTGAAAAGCAACACCAAGCAGCTTCGAATGGCTTTGCTCAATCTCCCCATTTACAAAATAATTGACTGTGACTGCAAGGAGAATTAGTCCTAAGCAGAGCTTACTTCAACACCAGGAGAAAAACACAGTTATGTTTCTAACTCTTTCCCCGTTAATGGCACTGTCAGGTTATTAATTACATTAAAATCATTTTTATACAATTAGAGCTTTAGTTTTAAAAATCAGGATTTAAAATGCTAATTCAGTTTAAAAAGTCATAGAAGGGATTTGGGGCACTGTGGAGATTTTATTTCTGGTTTCTCACACAGTTTCCATAATGAAAACAAACTGTCCAATTTTACTATTTCTTCCTGTTAATTCATTTCTCCCTGTTTACCTTCCAGTTCACATGCTCTTGTCTAGCTATACCTGGATCAAACACAGCTCCCTAAAATAGTTGTTTCCACCAGATTTGGGAAAAAATAGTTGCAAATTACTTTAAACTTTGTACCACATTGCTTTTATATTCAGTAGCTTTTCAATCCTAACACAAGTCTTTGAATAATACTAAAAAACTTTATTTTTCCAAAGTATTTGTTCCAATGAATAAAATATTCATTGGCCACTTGGATACTTGCCATACTAATAGCTACCATAACGTTCAGTGTTTTCAATGTCTTACACAGCTGGTAGTTAGCCAAAACACTTCTCTTTCCAAGGGCATGCTGTAGCTCCTGTTAATTGTTAGACAGAGCTTCTAGCAGGGATTGCAAAAATATAACATACAGGATTTTAGTTCCTATGGCTATGCTAGACTTTGGAGCCTGAAATCTTGGTGTCTTTTGCTCTCCTTGAGCACCCTACAGCTTTTTCCTGGCCTGCCCATCCAGCTTTTCTGAAGAGAAACCATGGAGAGACACACAAGGGTCTCATCTTGCCAGAAGCTGGGAACTCATCCAGTTCTGGGAGCTGGGAAGCAATGTAAAAACATTAATAAAGGCATGACTGGTGTTAAACATAAATGAGGCACCAGCTTCTTCTGCCCCACTAATTAAAGAAATAGGTTATATGAACTCAAAATCCCGTCAGAGAGCTTATCAAATTTTTGTCAACTGGGAAACAAGTCTTTAATTATTTAAAACAGATGTTTGTAATTCTACCATGTGCACATATGAATTTTCTGTCGACTGTTCTGAAGGTGATAGGTCTTTAACCACTACAGCTAAATGGATTAACATTTGTCCAGGAATCCTCTTGGGTATGTATTCATCAGCATTTTGCTTTTTTGCACAAGTGTTAATAATGATAATATTTTTTCATTTACATATGACAAGGGGATAGTGTTTTAGAATTAATTCTATGCACTGAAAAAGTCACAAACATTTAATTTTTATATTTTTTTTTGTTAAAATATTGAAGGTGATCACTATAAAGCCTACAGAAGTGGCTATGAATTTTGGTATTAGCTCCAACTGGCTACAGAAATTCTCTTCTCAAGGTCTCCAGATGGCTTCCAAATGGATTATAATTTTTGAGAAAAAGACTGGGCTTCTGTATGGCAGAAACAAACATTTCAAGTAAGTAAGCTAACACTTAACAGATCTATGAAACCTAATGCAACAGTAGTAGAAAACAACTAGAAATTTATTTTTTTTTTTTTTTGTAAAAAGATCCATTCCACACTATACTCTAGATATAAATATAGGAATTTATACAACAAGTAAAGATTTTATATTGATAATTACCAAATGTGGCTTTATCAATCCTGCTGATGTTACCATTCATCTCTGAAGATAAAGCAGAGATATTTTAAGTCCTGCCCAAAGACTAAATCCTGTCCAAACTCCTCAGCTTCCTCAAGTCATCAAAAACTTGTTCCTTAAGATAGTGATATAGTCATGTACAATTCTTGCAAACATTAAACCTTTGCAGTTAGAATAAGCAGCATCAAAATTGTGATATGAAAATCATATCACAAAACATGCAATCCATGGAAACAGAATCAAAAACACAGGACAGACTGCATTATAATGCATTATAATGTATACAGTATGCTGCAGTTGAGAGGTATTTAAGTTATTGGGATGAAAAAATAAATTTAAAATTACTTATTTTATTTTTTTGTGACTCTCACTTACTCATACAAGTGTCAAGATGATTTCCTGGTTGCAAGCTAAACAAATTGCTCCAGCTCAGTTATCCTCACTGAGATACATTCCTTGTGCCTTTACCTTTCACAAAGCCTTTTTGCACTGCTAATTATTAATTACCAGAACTGTTGAAATCATAGGCAAGAATTTAATATTTAGGAGCACAAAGAGCACTGCAGAAACAACTGTAAACACTACTAATGCAATCATTAACAGGAAGCATCAAGCAAAATGGAATCACCATAGGGGGTTTTGTCTTGCATGTACATTATTTTTAAAGTAGGACTATGGAACATCCTCTCATATTTGTTTCATAAATTAATTTTCCATTACATTGTGAAAAAGGTATCCTACCAGTCTTCCTGAAATGAAGACCAGATGCATTGAAAAACACTGATAATTTTACCCTTGAAGCAATGTTCATTATCAAGGATTTATGAAATTTTCATTAATAGCATGAGCGAGTTCAATTAAAAAATAAAATTGGCAGGTTACCTATTTCCCGGCAAAAAGCATAGGAAAATACTAAATGGACATTTATGAAGAAAAAAATCAATACCTCTCCTTTGAATTACAGTGATGTGGCATTGCAGTATTAATTACTTTGGGCAGGGATAGAGAAAGATGATTTCTATTTATTATTTACAGGACCAAGCATGTTAATTCCAGTCCCAAAACAAGAAATACTGGAATGAAATAGTCTGTGAGGGTTTTTGATCATATGCTTTACACTTTGCTGTTCTTCCAAGTTCAAAGCATTTTTCTTTGAAAGAAAGAAACATTCAGGAGAAAAGAATAGCAGTTAAGGGAAGCGATATAAAAATGTATCAAAGAAGATCTTCACTTGCCATCTTATAAAAACATCTATTTTTGAACCTTCTTTTCTTTGAAGTATTGCAAAACATCCCAAACACCTACAACCGTGAGCTGGCTTGATTTCATCCAGTTTCTAAAAAGAAGGCAAGAGGCTTTATAAAGGCAAAATTTGCATGACCAAAATCAGAGGCTGATACAGCAATCAAATACAATGAACTGAGACAATCCTATTTGAAAATGACAAAATAGCAAATACACTTAGCAACCTGCTGACATTTTAAAACGTGTAGTTCTTATGTTTCTCTCTCTGAGGTGTAGAGCTTTCCATCTATATGAATACCAGCCACTACAAAAAAATGCAGATTACTCTGCATTCCTTTCAGGCTTTAATGTATACTGACCAAGGGAATCACATGTATTTGACTGGGGGGGAGGAAATTAATCCAGTAAACTTTGTATAGGGATTGTCTTGATATATCTAGCATCCTGAATCAGGCTCCTCAGGATCTTGTTTTCTAAAAAGCTAACTCCTTTTAGGGATGTGTTTACCTTGGTTTTGTTGAAATATTGGGATGTATACTTTGAAGCACTTTTCACGGAAGGATCAAATTACAGAAAATATGGTTCATTAAAAAATTTAGCTATTTATGTACTTAGCTCTAGGAGCTAGGACTTTTACAGCAGTAAGGAAAAAAACCCAATACTTAGAATAATCATGAGAGAGTAACACTGTGTTCAGGCCTTCAGAAAAGCTACTTCACTTAAACACAGTTACAACCCACAACATCCACAGAGAACCCCTGTAAAAATATTTTGAGCCTCCTTGTCAGATGCATTTGCACTTCATAGCCAACACTAGTCTAAGGCATAGAGTTGCATAAAATTTGCTCTCCTGGGCATCTAATAAATACAGCATAAATGATACTTACAGTTTTGTTTTTTCCTACTCACATGTTTAAAAAAACTGCTTAGGACAATCAAAGTTAAATTCTTTGGTGGTCATTTAGAAAAATGATCATTGATCAGTTGTCCTTTAGTGAGGTAATTTGAGGAGTGCTGTAAGAAATTTGTTGCAAACAACATTTTCCCATTTTCCCTGCCCATAAGCAGCTCCCATTTTTTACTATAGTCAGTGTAGACCTCTACACTTGACTTGAAGAGATCTGGTTCTGTAACCCATCTTAATGCATTATAGACAGCAAGGCTGAAAGTTGTAAAGAGATTGTATCTTACAATCAGGAAAGCAAGGAAAGTTCTGCTATGTATTATGTCCTTGAATAGACAGAAGATTAGCTATGTTGTCTACTGTAACATCAGTATGCTAAAATGTTGTCACATGTTAAAACATAGTGTAGCTTATGGAGAGCCAGAGAGAAAAGGAAATAAAGCTCACAAAGACTTGACAGATGTCACCTGAACATCATTAAAGAGGTGAATGTCAAGTACATTAAAATAAAACCAAAACCAAGAAACTTTCCATTGTCTGCCCAACTTTCTATTTTTGGCATATGTTTTTCATACAACAGCCTGAAAATCATACCATTTAACAAAGACATTTTGATTTTTTTTTATGCAAAACTTAATAGAAAATAGCCTTTTACTTTCATTTGTTTACCAGAATATCATTATCACAGAACTCCCAGAGTTGAGTCTGTTGAACCTACAGCAGCAAGAACACAAAGAACTACAATAATATACAAATTAAGCCTGTTTTGTTTGTTTTGACTTTTTTTTTCTCCAATAAAACAATGAGGATAATAGATTTTACTTTCCAAGGGATGAGTCCCATCTACTTGCCATGGAACAACTTCTGTCATATGCATGAGAAATGGAGGGCAAAACCAGGATGCAGTACTTGACATTGGCCCCTTTATACAAGAAAATAACTTTTGGTAAAAACCAAATGAAATCTGCCCATGAGGAAAACATGAATAGATGTTAAGATACTCTTTAATGTGCAAGAAACATCAAAGCTACTTGATTAAGTGAAAGTCAAGTGTTCCTTGAGCTGCAATGACACATTGCTAGGAACATCAAGGAGACAGCAGTTCTGTGCAAGTTTCTGGCAGGTGGTGCAAAGTCATCTCATCTCAAACATTTAGGTAGGACTTTTTTGTAGACATATGAAATTTATCTTCTGACTAGATTAATACTTTTGTGAAAAGTTAACCAGGAAATTAAATTATGAACCTGTTTCATTTAAGTAAATAACCTTGCAAACTCTGGTCCAGAGCAATTTCTGAACAAAGATGGTTTTAATTTTTTTAACCTGTTTACACTCATGGATTACTACCTAGCATGTGATTCATCTTAGCATGCATAGTCTAAAACCTTAGAGTCTGGGGGTTTTTTAAGTTTTTATGGTCTACTGATGGCAGAGTGCTGTCAAGAAACAAACTGATACTTTTTTAAAGAAATGCACACAGATGCATTTTTAAATTAATAGTTAATTAGCAACAAGTAAAAGTTTACCCCACAAAAATCAAATCAGCTGCTACATTTTAAATATCTTATGTATGATAAATAAAGTTAAATTTTCCTTTAAGAAAGTTTCATTAATATTTAAACCTGCTTTTGAACAATTGAATAAATAAAACCATTAGTGCCTACAAGTTCAAATATGCTACAGATGTTTAAGATAACTGAATAACTACATTAAAATGCACCATGAGAAGATTCATTATCATTTTCCATGCAGGAAGCCAATTGACATTTTTGTGAGGTACCGGTCTTTCAAAAATTCTCATAAGTTAGTTACCTGATAAACTTTCTGTACATGATATATTTAAAAATCTAACTGTACAGTGTTTCAATCATATATAATCTGCTGAATATGGCACAAATGCTAAGTTTCCACACCCACACACCCTTTGCCATAGAACACATTTTAGGCATAACACAACACTGAAGAATAGAAAAGTGCCTGAAACAGGAGGAAAAAAAAAAAAAGACACTCAAGTAGCAATAAATTAAATCTCATTCAAACCAATAAAAAAGTTGTTCAAGTGTTTAAAGTATCAGATGTGTCATGCAACAGAACAACAGACAATTCAGGCAGGCACACCATGCATTATAGTTTGCATTCATGGTATCACAAGGTATCTCTCCCCTCTTCTGCACGGCCGGCGAGTGCTGGATACCTGCGGCACTGCCAGGCTCACGTGTTGAACCTTCCAAACTTCTTGGTCTCCTGCACAGGAGGTTTTACAGACCTGCTCCTCAGAAGAATAACCAGATGACCTCATGCTGTACTGTGGCATCTTGCTGCAGCATAAAGAGAGGCATACTGAGCTGCAGGTAAGCAAAGCAATCGTTTCTTGATTATATTTTCCAGTCAGTGCAGTTGATCATCAACCAATCAATTTACGAAACTGGGCTTATCCAAACTGGCCAATGTGCACACCAAGAAAACACAGAACGTATCACCTTTTCCTTCTTGTTTTGGCACAAATCCTTTCGTACTCTTGCTGTGAGTTCTTCACCACACAAGAGTTCAGAGATGCTAGCCTGTACAAACACCAGTGCTTATTCTTCCATAGAGTAAACTACAAGGACAGCCAAGTGCCTGCAACGGCTTTGCTTCTCCAGCAACTTTCTCTTCTCTCTTTAAGAAAAGCACCAGCATAATTACACTTCTGACAAAGGGGTGTTCTTGCTGAGCTCTTTAATTCCCTGGAGAATTCGCTTCATATGACCCACTTTCGTTATCCCCAGGTCCTACAGAAAATTTTAAAAGAGAAAAAGAAAAAAAGAGAAGAAAAAGAAGGAAGTTTACTTTAAAAGAAAGAAAAAGAAGCTCCATTGATTATGATCTATCCATGCAACAGATGTCTACAAAGGTGGTCTCTGCAATCAACACTAACCAGGAACTGTTAGCAAGAGTTGCTTTTCAAAAAGACTGCTTAGAGCATACAGTGAATCCCTCTCTGACTGCCAGACATAAAATTACTTACCTGCAATAGTGGCAACTCAGGGCACTTCAATATATGTCAAAATCATCTTTGGCTTGACTTCTAGCTACAAACATCTTTCACAATTTCTGGCAAAATAAAGGGAACAATCTCCCCCTCCTCTCTAACACAGCAATCAAATGCTTGGTAGGATGTGATGGATTGGGACTTCTGTCCAGCAGTCTCAGTTGATCTGAGGCCCTGTGATGTCTGCTTTAGTCAACAAACACATATATCCCCAGTTTCTCAAGGGAAAGTGGATGTAATGGCTAAAGGCATGTAGGACAACTTCCCTTTAGAGAGCAATAGAAAGAGTAAGCATTTGTTTTTCATTCCAAAAAGGTTACGTCTCCTAGCATGGATGTTCCTGATTAGAGAGCTGGAAAAAAAAATTCTCAGAAACGTGATAGTCATATCCCAAAGGAAATGGAAAAAGCACAAGAGTAAATCTCCTTGTAGCTACTAAATCATTCACATCAGCTGAAATATTTTTTTTGTTGGTTTCCAGACCCATCTCTATACACAACAACAGACAAATTTTTTTTGTAGCAAACTTCTTCCAGTATTAGTAATAGCTTTAGCAGCATCCTTTTTCAGTTTTGGCTGGTCCAATGATCAGAGAAGCAGAATGGGATGTCCAGCTGTGCTAATGATCTCCCACCGCACTAATGAATTTTGAGCTCAGTTTGGTGGAAATCTGCTTTCCTAATCTGTAAAACTCAGCTATGAAAAAGTTTTTAAAATCCATGTGTCAATGGTGTTGAGCAATCAGAAGAGTCAAACACTAGTTATTTGTAGAATAAACCCTATATAAATAGATTGTGGTTAAATAACTAAAAAAAAAAAACCTAGAAAAGTTTTCCCATTTTTCTGAAATAAAAATAACTGCATTTTAATGGGAAGATTTTTCCATTACAAAGATATTAAAAAGAAGGGAGTGCAATTAGGCAGCTTGAAAAAATTTTTCTCATAAAGAGTGAAAAATGAAACCATATATATTATTCTGCACATATTCTTCACAAAGACTGTATCTACATTTCTACAGCCACAGAGACCTCAGAAAATCTGTATTCTATAGTACTTTAAAATGTTAGCATGCATTTAATTTTGGAAGAAAGGGGTGGTAAAATGGGCATGAATCAATTATTTTATTATAAAGGTAGCACAGCCAAGATTAAACAGATGGTTTAATTTTCAGAGAGCAAAGACTGAATTCTGGTTATGTTAGAGAGAAAAAATGTTTGGTTGTTTCTTCAGTTGAAAACTATCAGCACTACAAATGGATGGTCATCCTTTACAGGACTTTGGCACAAAGGTGTCAGCCTTAAGGAGTTCAAAATTTGTTCCTAAAAGTTCCGAAAGCAAGTGCTGTTCATGAACTACCTGAAAAAAACCTGATTTTCCACATCACATAATTTTTTTTTTCACATCTCACTTATAAAAAAATGTAGTACTAATTTTTGTTAAGAGAGTTAATGTAGGTAGTAGTCAAATTCATCCTAAAACGACATTAATATTTATCATTTTACATTTCTGTAATATTGTCTTTTTTATGTTAAACTTAATTCTCAAGTGAATAAAAAAAAACACACATGACTGCTGAAACTAACGAAATAGCCTAGTTGCTATGTGGAGAAAATTCTACATAAGGGAAAACCCATAAGGACACTTTCCAAACCACAACAAACCACACAATTTAAGAATTTACAAATTCTTCAGAACAAATATATTTTCATGGGTAGAACTTCTGTTTGATAAGCAATATAGTGAGACGCTGCCAGAGTTCAAAATCAGAGGAAAGAAACATATGAAATTCCCAAAAAACTCAGCCAGTTTTCCCACCAACCTCTGTAAAGTAGTTCACAACACCTTTGATTCAGAGGCAAGAGATTTTGGGTTTATTTCTCTTCCAGTTGAAGTTGCTGTAATGCATATCAGAGCAGCAAATCTCACAAGCCTCATCAAGCATTTTGGGGAGCCCTTTCTGTTACACACCTAGGGGAGAATAACCCCACCAACTTGGGATTTTTATGCTTTTATAATAGTTTTTGGTTTGGTGGAAACTAGAATTTATAGAGTCATAACACTAAATGCTACCTGGTATTGTCAGTTTACTGCTCATGCAGAAAAGTTTGCTGAAATTCTCTCCTCTCAGACTAAAAGGATCTGCTACATCAGAATATCATGCATCACTCAGAGAACAAGATCTTCAAACATCTCTGCATATTTGTGCACACATGGGTTTCATCATCCTCAATATAATATTTTCATATCTAATTGATATCTAGTTACAAAGAATTCAATTTGACTAAACTACAGTTTTGAAGAAGAAATTCTAGCCAGTCTGAAGGAAAACAATAGCCTTTCTTTTTTCCCCAGCTGTGGCCTTAGAACTACAGCATCACCTCTCCTCCTGCTCTCCCTAACCACTGTGCTATTTCCTGGAGATTTTCTGGCCAAAGGTACCACCACTACCAAACAATTTATATAAGAACTCCTTAATAATAACTTCTTCCAAACATGAAATCTACCCTATTTGCATCCCCAGTGTGAAAAGCCACTTAGCATGTCTGAAATCTAACAAATCTTACAAAACTTTTTCCATAAAACAACTTTTTCAAAATATGCTACTGCAAAACACAGGGATGAAGTGTCGCAGCTCTTGGCACAGATTTTAGTTCGACTGACACTGCTTATCAAGTTGATCTGTGGCATGGAAAGCCTTTCTCCAGGGAAACCAACATTGCTATGGAGCTTTAAGGAGACATCATCCCCCTGTCCTACCAAATGTGTTGCAGTTCTGATTATGACTAAAGTTACATGCATAGGAACATGACTGTCAATGCTAGGAATGCCAATATTTATTTCAGAAAAAGTTGGTCCAGTTTTCAGTAAGTTTGATTTTAAAATAAGGTTAAAAAAAAAAAAAAAGTTGCACCAAGTCTTCTTTCTACAGTTTCTGCAGAGTAATTCACACTTTATTGCCCAGACATTCATCAAGCAAAAGAAAATAATGTGAGTGTAAATATCTAATATCTCCCTAAATTAAATCAAGCATAATCAATCAGGCTGGAGAAAGGTCATTACTGCAAGGACTGGGTGGAAACACATATTCTAGTTTTTCATTTGCCAGTTGCCACACAGAGCTCCCTGAAACTGGGATAGACAAGTTATGCAGAAATATAATTAGAGGTGCCCAATTCCTCTGTCAGCATATCAGTCTGTTCCAGTGATGTGTGCAAAGGAAGAGTGCTTCATCAAATCCTTCTCCATACTGCTTTTTATCTCTACTTTTGACCACAGAAAGAAAGGGAGGCTCAGAGGATTCAATTAAAACAGGCAGCAATTTTTCCTGCTGCAGACATGAAAGGTAACAGAGGTAAAATGTATTGTACATGAGTTAGGAGCGCATGAATCAATGGTGATCTCATTTAGCTTGTCAGGAAACACAAACCTTGTGGAGGAGAGGCTGTAGACAGATTACAGCTTGCAAGAGCACTGAAGGCTCATCTGCACACCTCGACAGCCAAAGGGAGGAAAGATTCACAGGGCAGCTTGTGACGTGTTCCTCATTTCCCAAGTACTACATTACACATCTTGACACCAATTCAGGTCACTGGCAGAAAACTGCAGGCTGCCTGAGCCACCCTTAATTGGCTCCCTGCAGAGACCATGTCCCTTAATCAGCAGGATGAGCACTAAACTCTGCTATTTAAGTTCAGTGCTGTTACACAGACTGCAAGCCTGCCTGGCCAAAAGCCTGGCCTAGCTTATGAACAGCACTGATTTGGAAGCTCTCAGCATCTGCTAACGAGCACATGGGGCGATTCTGGAGCAAGATTTGGTCAGCCTGGGACATGCCCTTTGCAACTTGTGTAGAGCAACTCCTCCTCCTCCTCCATGACTCCAGGCAGCACTGGAGAGAGGAGACAGTAGGCTCTATCTTTTCTAAGACAAGCCTTTAGATATTTCATGGGATAGACCTTTGTGATGGGATTTTATTTACACTGAACCAGCATGAGCCTTAGCAACAGGGATACTGGGTTGATAATTACCCTGCTGCAGATTAAACTTGGTTTAAGTGCCAGTCCTCTGGGCAGGCAGTCAAATTGGTACTTATGAGAAATAAGGCATGGCCAGAAGCCATGTCCAGTTTAACACTGATCTTACCCACCATCATTTATTCCCAACCAACCATAGTTGGTTGGGACAGAACCAAAAACCAAAACTTAAGTTTTCTTAACATTTCAGTGTATCTGTGCATTATATGATTTCTCAGTTGAATTTTAAGTTTGTTCAGCACTCATTCAGAACAGGGACTTGCAACATCACTGGAACACTGTGGTGGATTGCTTGGACAGTCTTCTATTTCTAAATGTTTGCAGTGAGAGACTACCCTGAAAGTGTCCTTCCCTGTCAGAAACTATCCTGAAAGAAAGGAATTTAACTTCCATGGAAAGAAGCTTAGGCAGTCTAATACCAAAGAGCAAAATAAATCACAACAGCCAAACAGATTATCTCAAATACAGCTATTTTCAGCAGCTACTTTCTACTGCAACAGTACAAGCACTACCTTATAATACCAGGGTTTCACACTATATAAAAAACTTCACATAAAATAACACATTTGTATGAAAATATTGTCTCTACCTGGAGACTACTGCACTGTGGCTTGCACTCTAAATGTAAATGTTTACAATTTATACAATATCCTATTTCCTCTCTTATGTGCTAAAAGCAGTTGCAAAACCCATTACCAAGAACTCATTACTACTGAGTTCCTGGAAAAAGTAATTTAATGAATCCCCAAAGATATAGCTGCTATTACATATAATGGATGCACTTAAGTCATTCCTGAAAAGGACCAGCAAGCTCAAATAACCGTCTCACACTGCTGGGTAATGTTTCTCCCTGCAAAACATGCCTATCTGACCTCAGAGGAAAAAGATTTTATAATTTAGGAGTCAAAATAAAATACTCTTTTTCAAAAATCTATGCAGCCAGCATCAGAGGTTGGTTACCAATGAGAAAAAGCATTTTGACACACGAACGCGAAAGCCAAATACTGGAATTTATTAAGCTGCTTATCTCTCTCACACCCACTAAGTCCAATATATACACAATAAATCATGTGGAGCAGATCAGCCCCTGCAGGAGATAGATTCAAAATTATTATGACCATCATCAACTGATCCATACTGATAGTGTTTAATGGAAACAGTGAACTCTTGAAGAAAACATTGTATTACACAGATACCAGTAAGATATCAAATGTGCTTCTCCTATGCCTTCTGACATAAACTGCAACACCATTATCCTACACAAAGTAGAAAAAAAAAGGAAAAAAAAAAAAAGGAAATTTTGGATAACACAGATATTTTCAGTTGTGAGTTCAAGTCAGCACTTCAGAAAGTCAGGCCCAAGGACAGCACATATTAGTTTATTGCATATTTGCACAGTGTAAGCCAAGCTACAAGCAATGACAAGTGCAGGGAAAGAAGAAAGTTGGTTCTTGTTTTGTCAAAGAAAATGGTCAATAGCAGAAAAGTAGCACAAAGGAAATACCTTAAGATCTCGCCTTTCCAGATGTAAAAGCTCAGAGCCTCGGATGTCATGGCTGATGAAGATTTCTTTGTACTCTCCCAAACTGAGCAGATCCAGCCAAGCAGCAACTTCATCTGTGCCCCATTTTTGAACTACCAAAGTTAAGAGCAAAACCCCCTTAATTTCTACATGCTCAAATGCATCACAAGCAAAGGTTAGGCCAAAGAGAGTGGAAAACAGAGTAGAAGTGCCGTGCTAGCAAAGGGAAAGGTTAGAGGTGTCTTTTCCACAAAAACTGACAATTTTCTTTTACATGCAGGTTACAGGTTAGCAGTTAACACAAGAAAGTATCTAAACAAACTTGGGGTTCTTTGCTTTGCAGCCATGCTTTCAGCTTTACTCCAGTTTCTTCAGTAAAGCCTTTAAAACCTCATGTCCCAACAAATTCACATTAAACCAGCTTAGGATCAGTGATGCAAAGTCTAATGTTGCTCTGCTTTATGCCATTAATTTATTAGTAGTCATCCAGGAAGAAGAGAAGCCTTCAAAAACTAATTAAAATGTAAAATTAAAATAGCGTCCATACCTCAAATATAGCAATGGCAGCAAGCAAGTCCAGTTTTAATTAACAGATTCTAGTATTCTTAATTAAGACAAAAAGTACTCTTTAAGCTACTGTGTTACACAGGCCATTAAGAAGCTCTCTGTAAAACATTGTTCTCTAAAGTTAGTTGCCCACATTAGTCCCATTAAGACCACATACATTAAAAAAATAGTTATGCTACTTATTGCTATAATTTTGCAACTTCATTCAATACTGAACACTTCATTTTATAATGAAGAGAAATCTGATGTCTAATCCAAAACTTAAATCTGATCAACAACTGCAAGATTTTGCAGACTGTGATCAACTGTTCATTTTAAAAAAAAGACAGAGTTTTAGGACCATCTAATCACTGATTACATCCTGGACATAATCTTAAAGAAGTAAGCTGAATAAATAAAGTCGAAAAAATTGTTGAGTAAATGAATAAAAATGGGGAGAGAGGAGGGTGGAGTTTGTTCAACTTCTAACTAAAAAATCAGTATTGACTATCATGATTTTTCATTTGATCTGTCTCACTTACTGAACCTATAACCCACCCAAAATTTAATAACTGGTTAATTAATCCAGTGTGATAAAAGTTATTTCACACCTAAAACTAACCTGAAAAACCTGAATTGGAGCTTCACAGGGAAACAATGTGTTTACCCATGGCTTGTATGGCTATGAGTAAATCAAATGTAACCAACAGCGAAGACACACACCCTGCTTGTTGCATGATAAAACTTTTGAAGTATTTTCACAGTAGTTCTTTGGTTCACTTGGGAGTATTGGGGTCCTATTGAATGCTTTCTAAAGGCACTGAAAGAAGCATTTATCCTAATGAAAATGCCAGTTAGCTCAGGTGCTTTCCACTTTGACTTTAGTCCTAGGTAAATCATGTCACTTCGTACCAAAAAAATCCCATAAAATCAAATTCACTGCAAATGCTACTACTTTTCTTGCAATTTCAAAACACATACCAGGCTGAGGGCTGGTCTTATGCTTCTGAATTTTTTCTTTTTTAAACTTTGGCACTATATGAAACACTGTACTTCTATTGTTTCTTTTAGCATAGTCCAGAGGGGGATCCTGCATGAGAAAAGAGGTATATATGTTTCATTTATTTATATATCAATCAAAATCTTTACTTTCACGAAAGGGAATAAAACACTAAAACAAAGCACTAAGCTTAGAAGGTTGTTCACGGCATACAGAAATGAGCCAGCATCACTACTGAAAGTGCCTCAAGAGATCATGAAAAATTGTAATTTACTTTTCCTTATCAAAAGAAAATTAAGTTCAGTTAAAATCAGAATGTATTAATCAAACTTACCTCATCATCATTTGGTTGAAAAACATAATAAAGCCAAGGAATCTCAGCAAGTTTTCTCAACTCTATTTCCACACTGTGTAAAGCATCAGACAACAGTTCTTCATGGGGAGCTTCCAACTGCTGTTTATAAACAGGCCAGAAAAACATGACTTTTAGTTTAATGAGGTTTAACATTTAAGTTATCTTGTTACCACACACCAACAGATGACTACTTCATGGTGAGTGTCAACAAATGGTGAAGACAAATAATCTTCCAAAATCAGACTTTCCTTCAGAGATGTGTGGGACCACCTTCATCTACATTTAGTAATGTCCAGATCACAATGGGATGACTGAGACAGCTGAGGCTTTAGATGCAGACCAGCTGGGTATAGTTGTCAATTACTGTCATCCTTCACTACAGTCCTGAGTCTTTACAAAACAAGAGTTATCTGATAACACCACTATGAAGACACACTGGAAATGGAAACTATCAACAGAAGGGAGAGAAAACCTGAGGAGAAGAGCAAGTGGATGAAAAATCTTTGTACGAAAAGTGGTATAAAAAAATGGAGTAGATGGTGGTAAACCTCAGTTATTTTTTGCAAATGTGTTCAGATGGTAAATCATTCCTTAATTTTCAAGTAAGAAGAAATGGATCTTGTGGAAGATTTCCATTTCCAAAGGTCTTCCAGTGGTGATATGCTACCTGCACTACCCGTTCTAAATAGGAGAGACAGGGAGAGATAGACAGTGCTGCTGGCTGAGGGTGGAAGGACTCCCTGGCAGGAGACAAAAAGACAAGGACATCAGTCAAGGCCAAAAGGAAAAAGAAAGTGGTAGTTGTGTAAAAACACTGGGACTTGACAACACATGTGAATTTGGCTCTCTTAAAGAGATACCCCACAGAGATACCTGTTCCCTTTAAAACTCCAGTCTGAAAACTGTTCTGCAGCTGTTGCATGACTAAACCCATGTGGAAGAGGTAAGGCAGGCAGCTGATCCCTTGAAAAGCTTTTTTGAGCTCATCTGAGATTGTTGAAACACCATTTTGAGGTAAAGAGTTGAATCCTGCTTGGAATCATTAATAAAGCAATCTGAGTATCTATTTCTCTCTTTTAAGTAAAGGTAGTACTAAAGCAATGCAGAATGTCCTTCTGCAAAGATCTCTGTCACATCATAGTGAATGCATTTTTTAAACGGAGTTGTAAGAAAATCTTGGATGTCTAGTGCTGGAAAAAGAATTTGACATTGTTGGAATTCGGTGATAAATTACAAACCCCATCTATCAACAAAAGTGTCTTTCTTTTGCTGCAGTAGTCTGCATATGTTCCCATCTTTCAAAGGAGAGACCATCTTTGGTAAGATCTTACTGTCCAGTATAATGATACTGGAAATATAAGTTCCCTTTGCTATCATGTTATTTGCTCTCCTACAGCTCAGAAAATTCAGTGTCCATCAGCAGCCTTTGATCTTTCTTTTTTTTTTTTTTTTTTTTGACCATTTGAACAGTTCAGTTAATTTGGAGCAAATTACTCAAATCATCTACTTTCTATAAAATAATGAAGCAAAGAATTATGTCTTTCTCAACAAGTACTTATCTAATTGCTTGATTCTCAGAGGAAAACATTTTGCCTGGGGACAAAAAAGATGCTCATCTGATGGTGCATCTGAAGTAAATTCAAAATAATAATTCTGATACAGAAAGAATCAGCAGTTCAGGGCAAACTCTCCTCCTACAACTTCTTGGAAAATCTTATTTCCAAGATAAAAAATGTCATTATGAATGAAGAAATAAAAACAAGGAATTTTTCAATTCATTTTGAAAACTGTGCTCTGTTCCAGACTGGAAATGCTTTTTAAAATTAAAAAACAAAAACGGTGCATTTGGAAAGTGTCTAGAAAAAAGATAGTATTTTTAATTTTTTCCAAACTGTATTCCAGCCATAAGCATCTGAGAGATTCCACAAATCAGCTTCATTGTCCCATCTTGAGCAGCCTGATCTCATAGATGTCCCTGCTCACGGCAAGGGAGCTGGAACTAGAAGATCTTTAAGGTCACGTCACCTCAAATCATTCTGTGATCCTATTTTATTATCATTTCATTAAAAATTATATTTTAGCATTTGTTGTGATTTAATGTTCCTACTGTTGTATGAACTGTGTTAATCATAGCTCTTACAGGAGGTGGAAGGAACCACAGACTTGTTTTATGTTTATTTACAGTTTGTTTTTTTTCCTCTTCCTCAGGAGCTGTAGCAGCAAAACTCAACACCAGTAAATGTCAACCAAAGCACCAGATTACCAAGTGTCCTAATTTAGTTGCTGGCTGAGGTTAAACCAAGTAGTGTAAACACCAAAGACATGAGTTTACTTCTCTCAAGTGCTTTATCACAGGAAAAATGGATGTGGGAGAAGTGAAGATGCCAAAAAAATAGAGGAATATATGAAAGAATGTCTGTCATTGTCAGAGGAGAAAGATCCTTCGGAGAACAGTTTGTGATGGGAGTGGCTGATGCATCAAGCAACATCTTCCACTTCATCTCTCTCTATTTTAATTGCATGAGGGACCAACATTCAGGCAACATCAGCATTTATAAAATACATGGCAATAAAGTTAACCAGGGTGCCTGGTTACTGTGACTGTGACATACCTCTCTAAGCAAGGGTGATGTCAAATGAGCTTAATGGGACACCTCTGGAAAATTATCTTAGTACCTTCCAAACAGACTTTTTATTAAAAAAAAGGGCCTGATGCAGCCTCATGAAGACATTTGCACAACCACAATAAGAAGCAGAAGCAGTACAACACGTAAAAATTCAGAAAGGGAAAAAGGAATCAAATTAAGCTTTGGAGCCTGAAGAAGGGCCCAGTTCAACAACACAAGATCCCAGCCTGCTGCAGAAAAGGTAATGTTTCAGTGGGAAGTTTCCATAATAACATTATTTCCAAACTATCTTGATAAATTTCACCAGTCCTAGTATGGCATCACCAGCTTAAATGTTTTCTTCTAATTTTTTTGGTAAAATTATTTAATTTTTTTTTAAAAAAAATCTCTATGCTAATTTCCCACTAAATTGGAAACATATGGGATTAGCAACAGCAATTTGAAAAAAAACCAGCAGATTTTTTCCCATTTTCTCGAACAAAAACATCTAATAAAATAGCTTTCCCTTTGAAAACACTGTAAAATGAAACATGTGAACCTAATCTTTGACTATTTCTATAGCTTAAACAATTACTAGCCTTTAGACTAATATTTATATAATATATTAGACTAATATTTAGATTATATTCACTTTTGGTTATTCTAAAACAGACTCATACAATTTATCACTTGCTTAAAAAGGTATGTGCACCTGCAGTAAGTTTTATATTCTAACTCAGGTAAATGAAAATATTCCTATTAATATCTATTTTTAATTACAACACTTAAATAAACAAGTTAGTAATAAATCTGCTTTTGAATCTAAAGAAAATGTAACTGCTCCTACTGAGTATCTTCTTAATGTAAAACTGGACAAGCATAGAAAACCTGACATTTTTCTTCTCTTCACAATGTCAATAGAGAAATTTTCTAATTATATATCCACATACAACTGTTGAGAAACCTTCATCATTTTAGACACAACCACTTGCCAAAGAAGTCACAAAGTCTTCAAGTACCATTAGTGGTTTACTGAATACATACCAGTTGAAGATTCTAAAATAGCTGCTGACAGGTATTAGAACAAGAGCGATATTTACTTGCCCAGATTAGGTCTGCAGAAATTGATTGTATGAGTCTAAGCAGCTCTCACCCCAGGCTCTCCTTAAACTCTAAAGATGGTCACATAATAGTTCTCCAGAAGTTCTCTTAAATGCTACAGCTCCAGAAGATAAATAATCTCCTTCTAAAATAGGCCTCCAAGAGAGCTGAGTGTGAATCAGCCCCACAAGGATACCTATTTCTCTGATTATTAACAAGAGGAGTCCAAGCAATGACTTAGATATCTGAAGTGAGGCAAGATGGATGCCAGTCTAAGAGATTTCAAAACTCATTCTGATCCAACCACAAATGCAGTGTAATCTTCTCCTATTAACCTTGCAGAGCTTCTTGCAGTGTGTCCTCCCTTTGGCACCAATTTACAAAAATCAGCAAAGAACCAGTCATGGATGATCTGAATGAATAAAACTGTGTGCTTTGTGACCTTACCAAAGGAACTCTTCCTACTAGCAGAGATTCTGTTTCATTGTGTAAGGCCTTCACATTGACAGCTATCTCCATGGCAGTGTTTCTGGTAAGGCTCTGGGGAATAAGAAGCATAAACATACTTTGAAGTGATGCAAGTCAGTACTTTCGCCTTACAGCACAGATCTTAACTGCCTTCTCCTATGAGAAATACATCTGTTTAGCTCTAAACTGACAATCTATTCAACAATGAGAATAGAAACCAAAAATGAAGTATCTATTTACTATCTTTTCCTCCACTTCATTTAGTATGACATTAATACAGTCCTGAAGATCATCAGGTAACCAGCCACCATATCAATCCACATATGACAAAGGCCAGCAGAAAACAATGACTACTGACTTCAATTTTTCACCTTATCCTCAGCAGAAGCAAGTTGCTAACCATACTTCAAGAAGCAAAGGTCAACATATTTACCATGCATCAATTTAGGTTAGATATGGATAGCCTCTACCTAATTAATCATTTCTGGGTCCAATCCCTGAAAACACTCAGATTATCTAGTGTGAAGAGAGAAACTAGGAAACTCATTTCCCCTCAGCTCCTTTGCCTTCTCTGTATAGCACTTGGACTGCAATTAAGCATGAGCATTTCTGTGAAAGCATCCGCAGAAATTGACCTTCATATAGTAACAGATCTGGTTTAGCCTCTGTCACACCTCCATCCTCTCTGAGGATATGCCTGCACAGTACCAGGTGGGGAGGACACTGGTGAATGCAGAAACTGCATCTTCCTTCTTCTCATCCAGCTTGTTTTCAAATGGGAGTAGGGAATACAGTACAGCCCCCGTGCCACAAGCTTGTGCACCCAGACTTTATAGCTTATTTACATAAATCTCTGTTCTTCTTTACCTCAGGAAACCTTGGGTTGGCTTTATTTAATGCATGTGAACATGCATTAACTGCGTGAGCAAGCTCCTGCTCCAAGAGACCATGTACTTTTGCTGCTTCACAGATCCTACAAAAACATTTAGAATGGAGAAAAATATTTCTTAATTTCTTTAAAGAATTCTTGAGTTCACAACTTCATCAGAAGAGAAAATACACAAGAACATGTTTCATAAAACACTCTTCTTTATAACAAAAATTGAAAGGCAAGTATCTCTTCAAGCAATATAGAACCTTGTAGAAATTATATCCATCACACAGATTATTTATGATGCAACAAAATACTGCGATACATTTATTTTTCTTAGAACTATATGCTATGCTATAGAAATATATATAGAACTATATATAGAGCTATGCTATACAAGAAAAATGGACCAAAAAATGTTGGTCCTATTAATTCAAGTAACAACTACAGAGGAAAACTCTAGCACATTGCAATAATTTACTCAAAATTATCTTCAAAACCCTTACACCTATTTCACAAGGTATAGCCTCCAGATGTGACATGAAAATTGGCTGCAATCAATTAAGATTATGGGAGGTCCAGCTGTGACTACAGCCTCCAGACCATCCCTAGAACAGTAAAGTTTTTAAGATGTCCTGGCTAAACTTCACTTTGGGTAATTAACAAACTAAACTATTTGTCTATGACTGCAGTATAAAAACAGTATGTAGCCCTTCCTTTCTTATATATTATTGGTGATTTTGATGCAAAAGCTGTTATGATAAATTGAATAGCAGCTTTATAAAATGTTGTGGAGAAAAAAAGAAAAGCTTTTCTTTATCTCAGCCCATATGAACAACTGAAGTGTCCATCCTGCAGACTTTTAAAGGGTTTCTTCCAATTATTCCCAATTATATTTTTGCTTTGTCATAAAAAGAGAAGCTTCAATTTTTGCAAAGAAGCTTCCCAGTTTTTAATTTCTGCTGCTGCTACAGAAGTTGGTTTTTACAAGAAAAAGAAAAACCAACACAAAAACACATAAAAAATTTTAAAAATACATAGAAAAAGCACACAAAAAGAAGTTGAACCTTAAAAATAAGGCTCTAAATTTTTTTAATTAGAAAAAGAACACTGTACTGATATAGCGGCAACAAAACTTTAATCAAAAACCAGGGAAAATTTACATTTCTAAGTCTCTGTATGAATTTGTATTAATAATTCAGTATTGGTGTCTAGGTTGCCAATCCAACTTATTAATTTTACTGTACCTGGTGATAAGTTCTTCTGCAGCTTGTGAGCACAACTGGATCTGTGCAACTTCTTCTTCTGTAGCCAACTCAACAGCTTGCTGAGGGTACAAGGGAGATCGAATGACAGGTTTGCAGGAATCATACTTCTGTTTGTCCTCCCAAGACTTCAGAGTGTTTTCAAAGGCCTAATCAAAATGAATTGCATATTCAATTCACTCAGGAGTATTCTTACTCATTAAAAAATTTATATATAAATTTAAATTATATGTTATTTTAGTTAAAATTAATTTAACGAATAAACAAGTGCTTATATAAATTATACTACTTGATTAAATAATTTTTACTCCTACAGTTTTTTAAAACATAGTATAGAGAGTAAATCACTTCTGAAAGCTGGTTCTCTGTCTCATCCCCATGATCTTCAAAATGTGTCTTCCATTATCACTAAAACAGTGATAATGGTTGGACTCAATCATCCTAGAGGTATTTTCCAACCTAAATAATTTTTGAGTTTCATGATTCTTTAATGCAAGCACATTTTGTGTGGATAGCAAGATTGAAATTCAGAACTGATACAGAATTCAAGCAATAAAAATGGTGGATTAAAAAAACAAATTTACTAAAAATAGAGTTCAAATTCTACCTTAACTTCACCCTAAATTCAAGATCCAGCTAGTGGATGGAGAACTGAGTGGCAGTTGTACCTTTCACACAATAGTCCTAGACAAGCATGAACTCTCCAGTGGTTTTGTGCCTAGGTTGGACTTGTGTCTCTCCTGTCTGAGACTGGCTCATGGGGGAGAGGGAGGATTGGTAGGACAGAGAGAGAAATCTGCAGAAAACTATTCTCGAAAATGGACAGTATAGAACTTTTCTATTTAGGCAATTGTGTTGAAATTTTCAGTATGTGACTGGTATAACACACCTAGAGAAAAAGAAAGAAGCAGTAGAAGGGGAAGGAGGGAGGGAGGAATAGATAAAATGTTGACCATTCTTACTATACAATAATAAGACTATAGGAATAGCACTAAAAAAACAAATAAAAATTAGCAAAGCACTGCCACTTATACAAAATAATAATTCTCTATCTGGCTCATTATAGAAACTATATCACTGTCAGTAAATGCATGAATTATATAAATAGTTATAAAACATTTTTATAAGTACTGTTTTATTCACGTTATAACTGAAACAAATTATTACAGAAACCAGTGTTAACAATGGTAGCTCTTTCTGCAACATACTCTGTCTCGTGTCAGCATCTGAGCTCTGTTTTTATGTATGATCTTAATAACTCCTGGGGGCTGGATCCATGCCTCTCCATCGACTTGCACTGGAACCCCTTCATCACCAAGTATGGTGATCTTTACTGACCGGCACTGGAAAAGAACAAACACATTATTTTGTAGGGCAATAAATACTGGTGGGACTGACAGGCCACCTGTAATCTGTTGATTACGAGGAGCTGTGGCTTCTCTCCAGAACCGTCTCAGGAATTAAGCTCTCCTATACTTCATTCATCATTGAAGACAATTTGTTACCCACTAGAAGCAAAACAATGTCAGCACTTTATTAATGTATAGGGTGGTGGCCATCAAGAGTCCCACTACTTGCCAGGATCCCAAACTGCTGCCAACCATCCTGCATGCTTGCAAGTAAGCAACAAACCTGAGCTATCCTGTGGTGCTGCAGTTTGATGACTCTGGACACTGCCATCTGCATGCTGCCAAACACAGCAACAACTTCTAAGATTTTATCATCAAATGATGGAGCTCCAAATATCTGTGAGGAAAAGAAAGTATTCAATTTTTGATGGCAAATCCAGTGTTTAGATTGCAATGAAAGACATATTCATTAGCAGATTTGTTTTCAACATTTAAATGCTCCAACTTCTTTACTGTAGAATAACTACTGTTTCTCCAAAGTCATAGGAACAAGATACCACAGACAACAGGCAAATATAATTTAAAACATGATGATACCATTTGAAATATCTGAATGACAAGGCATATCCTTATACAGGAAGGATGACATGTTTCAGCATGCAGATTAAAACATGTTTTTCAAGGCAAGATGAAAGGCCAATCGAAATCTCTGCTTGGTTAATGTACTTAATATCTAAGAAGTTCTTGAAGGTGAAAGAAATAATGCTTTCCTTTTCTTCTCAGAAGTGCTCATGTGTTTATATTCTGAATTCTCTGGAAACAAACATCTGAGTCCATGCTCTGCTTTGTTTAACGCAGCTTTGATACGAAGACAATCTTGTTTGTGCTGTCTATAATTATCCACGGTAAACAGGAAAACCACTTCGGTATGGAACAAATGTCCTGTGCAGCCAAGGTGCTGAATTTCCCCACGCTCACACAAAGCGCAGGAAGTCTCGCCACCTGGTGTGCTGCCGGGGAACTCAGCCACAGGACAGACCTCAGGCTGGACTCCAGCTGACACTGGTGACACTCTGGCAGGTAACACCATGCTCAGGTCACTTGAAGCTTGGCCATTCCATCTTGATATGCAATAGGGAGCAATGAGGGAGAAAAATCAGGAGGGAAAATCACTCCAGTAAGAGTTTAATGGGTAGAGAGATTGCCTCTCTGACCAATACTTGCACTCCCTCAGTTGGCACATTAGGCAGAGTAAACTGCATCAGTAACACCTGAGACCAGACTGGAGAAAATCAATTTCTCCATCTGAATTTTTTTTTCCCACCCAGTTTCCATGGATTTTTTTCCCATTTTTCATAGGAATATATGAGCGTCTTGAAAAACACCAAGATGGTGATTCTGCTGTTCCACGAGAAAAAGGGTGGGGAGGTTTTGATCCAGTAACTGACGTTTACGGGGCTAGTTCTGGCATGTGTTAAGAAAAAGCATTTATAACATTTCATTTATTTTGTGTTGCCATTTCAGCAAAAAGACAGGAAAAACTCAACCCAGCCTTCTGCTTTGTCTCTCCACCAGTAATATCTGTATTGAAAACCAATCTCTGTTTTTCTCCTTTTTTTTTTTTTTTTTTAAGGCAAGCTAATCTCTGTGGATCAACATTCAAATTGACTCCTTTCCTGTTGCAGGTCATGTTTCCAGCATGTCTTCTGGACAACAAAATAACATGCCTTAACAAGCTGTGCTCAAGCCAGTCAGGGTGCAGATGCCCTGCTTGGCTCACTGCTAATGTTTCAGCAATAGTCAGAGCTGTCAAGGTAACGTCTTTCATTTGTCAAGACAAGCAGAACCAGCAGCACTTCAGACCACCACCACCACCTCTTGATGAAGAGTCATCCTGATGAAGCATCTTGATGAAGACTGCACTAAAGCACTGAATTATGCTCCTAACTTTGGCTAGAACAAACATGTCACTCTGCTGGCACATCTGCTCACTAGAAGACTAATAATGACTAATAATATCAGTAAAACCATTCCAGGACACACGCATTTGCTGTAAACCAGTATGAAACCTGGGACAGATCTTCTCTCACTGAAGCAAGTCCAGGGAGAATAACAGACTCCTGAACAAGGGCTGAGCAGATGTAGAGCAGCTTTCAAGTTCTGACTATGAACATGGAATATATAAGCTTTAGATATCCATTGCTAAATATAAATATAATTTCCATCCTCTGACATATACCAAAAATAAGAAAAAGGACACTAAAACATGTCTAAATTTATTTTTTGACTTTTATATATATGTAGATATATACACCTATATCAAACATACATATATACACATGCAATTATATATGTATTATATAATATAAACATGAAATTATATATAATAGATCTTAAATTATATCAATCTATGTATGTTATATATAGATATGTTTGCATGTGTGTATTAAAAAATAAAAGGATAACAACTCACAAGAAACCTAAAACTTTTTGGCAAAAAAGTCCTGGATTGTCTCCATCAAAATCACAAGCCATTTTGCAACTACAATTTTAGGTGATTCAGACATCACACACTAAATCAGAGCATGCAGATGAGGATAATCTGCTAGTAATTACAGTTGGCACGCTGTGCAGCAGCAGCAAAACTGTTCCAGGTTGTAAGGCACATAGGGATCCATGTGGTGAAATGTTTCTTAGGAGTTGAAAGGAAGGAGGGGAAAAAGATACCTTGAAGTATTTTAAAGGATCATTGAAAATAATATTCAAAAACCAGTTTACTACCCCACTAAATTCTCAGTCACTAAATTTATTAGTCTTCATTTCTGAATCATCATCCCTCACAGAAAAGCTGTTTGAAGAACAGGAGGAAAATTAAGGTATAAACTTTGAGTGACTATCCTGTACACCTTGCTTGTTAAGACTATAGCAAACAGAGGAATCTATGCTTTGAGAAACTTTATTTACAAGCATCTGTAGAATAACATAGAGAGAAATTACTTGTGCTTCTGTTTATAAAATTAGTTTCTAAAAATACTCATAGAACCATTTAAAAAACAAAATAATTATGTTTTATTATGAACATTTTGCTGGAATGGACATGACGGAAGACAATGGACAGTAAAAAATCATGGAATATATTTTCAATTTAAAAAATGAGCAGGACAATACAGTTTGAACTGAAACAGCCTCCTCAAATAAGAATTGTTATCCAAACTATATGCTAGTACTATTAAAATCAAGTGAGGAGAACAGTTCATTATATTTTTTGCTGGATTTTCCCAGAAGGTTAAATTAAGTCTCTTTAATGCTACTTACATCATCTTCTTTGGTTCCACCCCAGAAATTAGTCCCACCAGCATAGCTGGGAATGTTTAGCACAGCTATGCCTTGCAGGCTTGGAAGGGGGATGTACTGTCCATCACACTGTAATGGATAAAAGCTCCTTCAGTACATAAATAATACAATAAAAGTTACCAGTAAAGAGTAATTTTTAGCACATGAAGCTTCAACAGACATAGCAGGGGAGGACAAAGTCATTAAGAGGTCTGGTACAAGACTACTCCCTCCATGCAATGTAACACCTCTAAAATACCTCTGAAACACCTCTTCTTTCCAATCTTAGCACTGATTTTTGCAGAGGTGAAAAACATGTTTTTCTACATGCTTTTTCTACAGCAGTGGTAGTCCATGGGTTTTGAAAGAAACATTTTCACATCCCTTGATTTCTCATGCACTTAGAGCATGGTCTGTCTATCAAGGATTAAAAATACTTTTGCTCTAAGAAAACCTATCTCCCTGAGTGCACACAGTAAGACTGCCAAGGACCTTACAAAAAGATTCATTTATACATTCAGTAACTAGTCTTCCATCCTAGATCAGCATTCCCAAAATTGCAACAGACTTGTTGTTTAGTCAAATCCATTTAAGCCGGGGGCGGGGGTGTGCCAAGAATATCCAAGAATATTTCTGGCATAGCCATAAGCATGGTTAGCTGTCAATGTTTGCATATATTGTTGAATTCCTGTAAAAATAACTTATTTCTCCTCCCAAAAGTGCAAAGACAAATCTAGGACTGACCCCACAGGTGTCACCCTGGCTGTAGATGGGAGTTGTTGATTTTGGAGGTAAGAGGTCACGCTTATGTCCAGCTGTTGAGTCCCTCCTTACTGCTTTAGCTCCCAAAACACATAAGTGACTCCATGTCCTGCTCAACACGATCATGGGGTGACATCAATCTCACTTTTGGCCAAGAGTAAATTCACAGACATCAGTGAAATCACTCTTGACTTAGAGCAGGACAACTGCCTGCAGCGGGGAGCCCAATGATCTCAAACCATTCCACTGGGAGTCAAATGTGCAGTCCTGCAGCAGTGCCACAGGCATGGAATTGAAGCAAGTTACAAACACAAGGTTGTAAATGCTGGACCCAGGTGTCACTTTATGGACCATGAAGTTGCCAGTCTGTAAACTGCCTATAAGGAAGATTACTAGATAACTGGATAACTAGATAACATGACCAGTCCACAGAAGTATCTTAAAATTATACAAATAAAAAAGAAAATCTAAAGAAATAAGGACAAAATCTATAGCATCTTTATCAGGAGGAGAAAGAGATACAAATTATTTCCAGAATGTGTTTAATGCTCTCTTTTTGTGATTTAATCTTAGCAGCAAGACTGAATGTAACATTTTAATCAAGATGTGACAGTACTCAAAATATGGTGTGATAGTAATAGATGTTGCACAACTATTTGTATTACAGTAGAATTCTGTCTCTAATGCCTGAATATGCAGGCATAATATATCTAATGTTATGCAAGACAACAGTAAATGTGGAATTTTTACTTGCTGACTTACCTACAGGAATATTAAGAAAATAATTATGGAAAGGTCAGCAATATTATCACATCTTATTTGAATCCAATTCAAAAGATCCTTAAAATAGAATTCTATCTGCAGTATACATAACTTTCTCTCCTGTCATTATATTTGCTAACTACTGCATAATTCCTTGATAATTACTCAATCCTTAGCTAACAGCAATCTGCTGCTACCAGACAAAATCCTCCTAAATCTCAGAGTGAGAAAGATCTCCAGTAACCTAAAATTATTCTTTCAACTTCAAAAGTTACCCTCATATAAATATCTTAAACTTCTATATGAAATAGCATGAAATAAAAAGAGAAATTATATATGTTCTCTGTCAAAATCCACCATTAGCTATTCTTTGGGTGAAAAGAACAGTAACCATCCTGTAGTCTTTGTCTGCATTTGGGAATCATTTCTATCTCCTTTAAGTTCTCAGTACCACAGATTCCATGTTAGAACTTAAAAGCCAAAAAATAACTATGTTTAGACATATAACTTGCTGTTGCTTTGATAATATCTTGCTTTTTTTGTGTGACTACCAAAGTCTCTACTGGTGTAGCTGGGCTCCTTGTGATGCATATTCAGAATCTCTTCTCTTTTGTCAGGAATTTTTTACTATTTACATGCTCCTCCTATATGTGCAGCTTTCAGATAATTTAAATTGAACCTGAAAGATTAAGACTCCTTATCTCTTTTCTTCTTTTTATTTTATAGGCATTTCTGTGGTTGCCCTTGAAACCTGGTCTGTCTTCTCATACCGTGAACATTAAGAAATATATTCTACCTACACAATTTATTATCTTTTTTCAATCCAGAAATTACAAGAAACATAATACTGGGCATTTTGTGATCTTTAAGTACTGACATTTTACTCAAAAACACGACTTGGAGAACCAACTTTTACATAGCATAGCTTTACACAGAGCCTTTGAGATCAGCTTGGGTTGACACAAGAACAATAAGAGGTTTCAAAAATAAGCACTAATTCTTCAAAATACATTGTGCAAGCAACTCTCTCCATAAATAAAATTTACCTCAAGTTGAACTTTTTGTTCTAAGTTCTTGTAAGTTCTCTGCAATAGCTCTTTTGTGCCAAGAACTCCATACCACATCATGTTTTTCGTTCGACTTCTGAAAGCAGGCAAAACAGGATTCACATATTGACATAAACACATTATTGTGTCTTGTATTTGTAGAAAAAATTAAGAAAATCATATAAAAGGGTAAGGAAAAGAAAAGAATGGAAACATCTTGGCTCTGTTACTGACAGAGTAATTATATTACCTGCATTTTTCAGGGTGCTCTTCTCGCTTATTATTAAATTCCAGTGAAATTTTTGCATCTAACCCAATTCCAAAGTAGTTGTTCATGACACATTTTTCTGAATATCCCTCCCTGTTAGAAGAAAAGAGAAAATCAGGTGTACATTTGTACAGAACATGGACACACAAACATCTTTGACCAAGACTGTGATTGGTCACAGAACAGAATATGAACTAAGATACTTCAAGAGATCTTCCCTCTGAATCTTCCTGAGTAAACTGGTTTGGGTGGAAAAACCCAGCTCTGAAAGATTACTCTGTCCTACTCCTCCAGGTGAGCAAGGGATAAGTGAGCAAATGTCTCCCATTATTTTCAGCTGCAGCAAAAATATTTGCACTGCTCATAACTAAAGCAGCACAATCCAGCTCATTTTCAGACATTGAGGTCTACTGCCAAATGATGGCAAACAAGAAATTCATAATGCAAAAAAATAAGAGACTACAAAAATGTAAGAAGGACACCCTTAAGGAAAGCAAAACAGTACATTTAGAAAAAAAAATATTTCTTACAAGGAATCTGGATCCGGGTCAATAAACGGCGTAGCACCAAATGGATCGATGTTTGCTAGCAACATTTTGCTAATAATTGAACTTCCTGCAATGGAAGCAGCTAGACCAGCCCTTAAACCTGATTAAAAAAGAAAAAAAACAAAACAAAACAAAACAAAACAGAAAGAAAATAATAAAAAAAAATTTGTATTTGATAAATAGACAAACATATAATATAAGCCACATACTGGGAAACAAAATTCATTAAATCTGTATAGGGAAAGATTGTGATTCTATCTCAGTTTTTTACCAAAATTGCTTATCTTTCCAGGTCTCTGGCTCCCTTAAGCAGAAAGGCAGCTGTGCTGCGTTGTGGTAGCTCTCTTCAGGTACCACCATTAAGAAAATAAAAAACAAAGAAAATTTAGGTTTTCAGGCCAACATTTACTGGCTGGTATAGTAACCAAATGGGTGACCTAACATTCAAAAAGACTGCTAGACCTTTTCATTCAGTTTAATCTTCGTCTCTGAACTCTCAATGATTTTTCTTTCGTCTTATCCTTTGGAAGCATACATAAGGAATATTCTTACCATTTTTACAACTGGTGGAGCCATAGTTTAACTTAATTTGAACACAACCTCAACAGGTCTGCTTTGACTAATACCAATTTCACTCTACAAAATGCTCTGTAATGCATGTAAACAAAGCAAAATACTAACAGCTTTCACTTAAATTTGCCTAAGGAAAAAAAACATAAACTTGGTTCTACTGTGATTTTGCTATATTAATAAAGTTAATCAAAATGGGGTTTTACTAGTGCTCTCTAGAATTAATTACATTTGGAGCAGAACAGATATTTTTTCATGTGTCAATTGCATTTGGGTAAGAACAGATTTTTTTCCAATTGTTTTACAGAGCGGCTTTGTGCGGTTTCAGTTATCCACTTCCAGAAAGATATCCACAGACAGTTCTTACTCAGAGGGTTAAACTTTACAAAGCTTTTTTCCTCAGCCTCTTCATCCTAATCCATTGATTAGGATAAATGATAGAAGGATTTGGGGGTACCTGTGGATGAAAAATTGGATGCAACCTGGCAATGTAAGCTTGCAGCCCTGGAAGCCAAATGTGTCCTGGGCTGCATCAAAAGCAGCACAGGGTGAGGGAGGGGATTCAGCCTCTCTGCTCTGCACCTATACTGCTGCATCCACCTTTGGGGGTCCCAACATAAGAAGGACATGGGCCTGTTGGAATGGGTCCACAGAGGGCCCTAAAGATGGTCAGAGGGCTGGATGACTTCTCCTGAGAAGACAGGCTGAGAGAGCTACGGTTGTCCAGCCTGGAGAGGAGAAGGCTCCAGGAAGAATTTACTGTGCCTTTTCAAAATATAGAGCAGGTTTATAAGAAAGATTGAGAGACTTTTCACCAGGGCCTGCAGTGACAGGAGAAAGGGCAGTGGTTTTAAACTCAAATGGGGTAGGTTTATATTGGACAAAAAGAGGAAAATGTTTGGGATGAGGGTAGCGAGATGTGTGAAGAGACAGTCCTGAGAAGCTGTACAAACCCCACCACTGGAAGTGTCCAAGGTCAGGCTGAATGCTTTTCTGAGCAACCTGATCTAGTGAAAGATGTCAATGCCCATGGCAGAGAGCTGTACTAGACCATCTTTAGAGTTCTCTTCCAACCCAAACCACTCTGCAATTCTATGATCCTGAATTTTGCTTTTCACCCTTCAGAATCAAATGCAACACTTCTGCTATTTCTGGTGTTGTGCCAAATGGTCAGAAATATTCTACATCATTAAGCATTTCCTCCTATACAATATAACACAAAGATGTATATGTCAGTTTGAACAAATTCAGGGCATGAAGTAAAAGTCATTTGTCAGCAAGCAGGAGACTGGAAGACAACATTAAAGTAGGGGAGTAACAGCAGATTTCAAAATCATAATTACCTGGGCAGATAATCCTCGTGTTAAGTACTGGGAGGTTTTCCTTGCTTGCTGCCAAAGCTGGAGCGGAGAAAGAACCTGTCTGAGAATGGATACCTCGGCTTGTACGTCTATCAGGAGATCTTGGTGCAGTTTTAGCTGTGCAGAAAAAATAGAAGAACAATAATTAGACTTATTATGACATTACCAATACATAGTTTTCACAGCCCTGAAAATACATCAAAAGCATTAATTTAATCTGTTACCACTCCATGACAAAAGTCCTTCCTCCTCATATCACAGTTTTTCTTCTAAATACAGTAAGAAAAATAGAAACAGACCAAATGATAAACACAAATTAAAATGAGTAAGTGTGCATGGCACTCAACATGATGAGCTCCCAACTTATACTTCAAGCTACCAGTGAAATTATTATATGTATTAAATGTAAATATGTTCATAAAATGTATCATATTCACCTTAAAATGCAACAGTATTTAACACTGCAGTAAACTTCTACAGTAGATTATAATTTATAACAATTTAAATATAGGTAGTTCCACTGCCTGTAGGTTAGAGTATCTATCTCATCAACACCTACACTATTTTTTTCAAGCAGCTAAAATGGGCCCATGCCTGCAGCCGATCCTAAAAAAAAATCCTTCTACATTTAGAGAGATTGTGGGAACCATCAGTTTTCCATCATCTTTTTTCACAGAAAAACTCAGAAAACAAACAAACCAGCAATTTCCCAAATAATTACCTTATTAAAATTCTCCAGAAGATGGACCAGTGAAACCTTGACAGATATCAATGTTTAGTAGCTAATGTAACTGTTACTGACAAAGGCTCAGGAAAAGGAAAGGGAGGAATATCAAGGGGGAAGAGAGGAGATTCACAAAGAGTAGCTGGTAGCTCAGTTATCCAGTTATCCTGTGGCTGCCTCGGGAGGCAATGAAGAAGGATTGGCTTTGCAGAGGGCTGACCTCGGGTGCTGTAAGTTACTTTCTTGGTATAAACTGTTTCATAAAGCCTGAGAGAATATGCCAGTGCCTGCTTCAGAGCCTGGGGAAGTCAGTCTTTGTGAGGTTCAGCCCCATCAGACATACCCAGAAACCGGCTGCACCCCAAGGAAAAAGTTTGGGTATTACCAAATGCTTTGTTATAGCATTTCCATCTGCATGTAGAAAACTCTTGCACAACAGAGGGCCACATACAGACACCTCTTGGCTATCTTTGCTCCAAATTATCTCACATGTTAAAACTACTTCATCTTAGGACAACTTCAAACTTGATCATCTGAAGAAGCTCAGAACAAAAAAATGAAATTATTTCAGGATAATCTGATTTTTCCTCTCAAATCATGAAAACTAATCCAGCAAAAATAGAATTTGTAGGACTATCATCAAGACAACAGCAGGGAAACAGTGTCAGGAATGTGGTGGGAAGGAAAGAATCCATCCTTTTCCCTGTCAGGAGTGGGACAAATCAAGTCATGTCAATCATAACAGCCTGAAAGTAACACGGGTGTACTGTATAAAGACACTAATGGAAAGAAAATGTTGAGTGGGAAAACCCTAGACACAAAAGGAATAACTAGAACAAGGGTTTAGATATTGTGTTCACATCACTTCAGGCCAGGATTTGTCCATTCATGGGGGTTTTTTTTAAGTGATGATAATCTAACATAGAACTGTAAATGGAATGGCAAATTCTTCACTTTCTTGTATCCTTGGAGTAAGATTACACACCTTTCTGGATAACTTGCTGAAGTAGAAAAACAACACATTGATTTGTATCTATGCATGATAAAACACTGTAATAACATCAAAAAATAAAATTGAATAAAAATGGCAAGTGATATCTAATGATAGTCATAGATATATCTATGAGTTATTAAATATTCAGTTGAAGGTATTAACATATAGAAAAACATTATCTTCATTAAATGACCAGGAAGACCCTCATAGGCTATAATATAATACTCAGAACAAAAGTAACGTTCATTTTTCATAATACTACTGAAAAATTCCCCACACTGTTCACACAGTCTGTTTTCTCTTGTGCTCTCTCTCTGTACTCGTGAACAAGGCAGTTGTATTAAATAGGAAAATCAGCAGAGCAGTTGCTCTTTATTTGACAGATGAGACTCATGGGAATGACTGCAATAAAGATAAACTTTTGCTGTGAATGCTCTGATAAAAACAACAGAGCCTTAATGAGTAAAACTGATGTTTCAGTGCAGATAATTGAATTCATGTTTCATGCTTTGTCCTTAAACTGTCCGGTGACAGAATAATACAGCTCCCCATTAGCTACAGAAATTATACCATCAAGAAACAAGGAGTTCAATAAATTTCTAGACCTGTATATCTTTATTATACAGTTCTGACAGTAGGATTTGGTCATTTGTAGGGCCAGCATCCTCTATGAGCTACTGTTGAAAAGAGACAACCAACATGCATTGATTCCTATAACCAACAGAAAATAAAAGGGACCAGTGAGGAGACAATCACTGGAGAAAGCCTTTCTGGAGAAAACATGAGATCCATGGTCAACAGAAGCCCCAATATCCCAGTGTCTTATTTCCAAAGTAGGAGCTACAGACACAAGCACCAGCTTCAGAGCAGAGCCTTATGGGGACATAATCCTTTGAGGATTTTAATGTGGGTTAGGGTGAAAAAAGGAGATGCAAATCCCCAAATACTTTTCTTGTTTTGCCCCAAGAAGTTGCTCACCAGGTATCTAGAGGATGGGCTTTGCTGCCTACCAGCTACCACTGTTTCTATGTGACTCACAGATCATCTTGTCATCTCACCAGCCATGCATCACTGTCCATTTTAATTATATGGAAACTACTGAAATTTCCATTGCTAAGAAGCAGCTTGCCTAAAATTTCTATGTAGCTTGAGAATCTCAGTCTACAACTGAGACATGCTATTGCCACCACCATCTAGACTCTTTGCTCAGGTTCATGTAGAAAGGTGAGGGTAAACACTGGATTAAATTCAGGCACTTCTTTCCCCAACAAGTGCCTCTCAGCTTTGTAAATACATTCCAAAATACTGCTTATCTATTATTTCCCTCATTTTTCCCTTAACTTTAATTTATTCAAATATATTAGAATTTGTGAGTAGTTTCCAGTCAAACAGGATGCTAGTATTTTTAATAATGGAACCAATTATGCTCCAAATATAACTATAAAGAGATGAAAAATTTCTATTTTACTTCTAATTTACTCACTTGATGGAGACTCAAGTTCCTTTGTGTCTTCCTCTTTTTCCTCTTCTTTGGATTCATCCAATTCTTTGCTGTATTCTACTGGAGACTGGTTCACTTGTTCTTCACTATGAGCATTCTGCTCATCCACAACTGTTATTCAGAGAAAAGACAAAGTTTCAAAGATTCTAAAGAAAAACTGCATACACTGAAATAAGCACTTTTTGGGGTAGCTTTTAGTTTTAAAATATCAACAAAAGAGTTCTATCGTCAATTCAGTGAGAGTCAGTCAAGTCTTTACCAGTCAATAAAGATTTACTGTCAGAAATTTTCATTTTGTGGAGGCTAATAGTTAAAAGAAATGTACTTTTATATGTGCACACACATACATACATAAGTATTCACACATGCAGAGTCATCAACATTCAAAGAAGCTGCATTTCTTTTCCTTGCAGCTTGTAATAAGCACACAATTTTATCTATGTAAGGATATAGAAATCAAATTTTGTAATGAAAACTTATTCCATTTTGACAAACAAACAAACATCATTATCCTATCCTATTCTACCGGTCTGGATCAAAATGTTGCTGATGTGCACCTTTTTCAGCTTGTTCAATGATCTGCCTCACAGCCTTCTTCAAGCTATTTGCTCGGAGCATTAACTGCTCCCTTGGTTTGAAGAGCTTCTGGGAAGACTTTGAGACACACTCTGCTAATTGCTCTTTACTTTCAGACAAAGATTCTTCACTTGAGAACTCCTCTGGCTCTTCTTCCACAATGGGAGGAGCAATGCCTGGGAGAATGGGAGCAGCCTGGGCTTCTGTGTGAAGAGCCTGGAGCAATAGGTCCAGCTTTTCATTTAACTCTGAGCACTAAGACAAAGTAGAAAAGACACACACACATAAATAAAAATAAAAAAAATTCAACATTGAACATGTGAATATTTTCAGGAAATACAGCACCAGATTATATTTGAAATTGTAGGTGTCTTTAGTGTCTATGTAATTCCACATGTAAAATCCAAACCCAGGTTCAACACTTTAGAATGTCAGATTATGAGTAGGTCTGCACGGGCTTTTTGCAGACCCCGTGACACTCAACCAGATTAGAGCAATTATAATAAAAACCTCCTACACTTAGATTCAAATAACACTCCATGCTAATGAGTGTTATTTGAATCTAACACTCAGCCTGCCCCATAACTGCACAGATTACATCCTACTCCTCTTGCAATGATTTGCAGCACAGAAAACCATCAGAAGTTTAGCCATACATGGGTGTTCAGTGCCCTAATTTTGAGAGGTATCTATCAGCTGTTAGACTGAGACACATGGGGCTGTTCTTGCCATACAGCTGTGTATTTGAGCAAGTGAGTTGTCACAGAGCAAGCAGCTCAAGCCAGAATCAGACACTGTCAAATGCCTCTCCCCAGCACTAAATAATTGTTCTCTCTAGGTACACAGGAAAAGAAAGGATTTTCTGAGCCTAAGAGAAAGCACTCTCTAGCCTTGGAACAGTTAAAAATTAATTTTCTAAAATGTGCATTGGATAGAAACATGAACCACAAATTGCCACTTAGCAAGTACATTTTCTTACTCTGGTATTATCAAGGATTTTGTTTTCTTCTTTTCAGCTCATGTAAATTTTGTGTCTCATACCAAATCCTACTGTTGTTTTCTTTCCCAATGTTTTTTGCAACATGATCTCTGTATTTTGCAGCTTAAACCACTATTTTTAACATTGTGGTCTGCCTCCCCTTCATTTTTGCAGCATACTCTTCATTATCCCACTGTTTTCTTGTAGCTAACTTAATCCTTAGAAGTATAACTAATGCAAAAAAAACCACCCTTTTATGTCTATGTATGCTACCATGAACTTTATCCTTTATGAAGAAAGAAAGTATAAACAGTTTAAAGGGATCTCAGAGTTTAAAGATGATTTGGAAGTAATTAACTCTATGCAATAAGAAGAGACGAATTTTGAAGTGACTGGTTGAAATGAAAGCCAAGCTGGGCATTCTGGAGCAATGTGAAAATTAAACATCCATGAGCTATAAACTTTAAGAACCCAACAACTTTAAACCTGAACATAGTCATAGTCTTACTTTAATGGCCATGGCATCAGCTTCCTCTGTATTTTCCGTTGGTTTTTCGTAAGTCTTCCCTATTTTGGCAACAAAGTCCTTTACAGTTTCACATAATATTCTTCAGATAAAAAAAGGAGAGGGGAAGAGATTAAATGAAATAAAATAGGTATGTTTTGAATATTAAATTCTTACGGCAATTTATTTTTATGTACACTGTTATAAATCACTCTTTTTGGAAACTGAACTCCATGATCATACTTGCAAATCAGATGACACTCTTTTTGAAAGCTTCCAAAATTGAAGTGATAAGCTTTAAAATAAGAACTTTTTCACTTAAGCCTTGGCATACATTGTATTTCAGCCTCTTACCTAAAATTAATGTTACTTATTTTATCCATTCCTTTGCTTGTACGCTTTCCCTACAAGAGACCTTAGCAAACTTGCATTCAATTTGGTAACTTCCCATGCAAAGTTGGAGCTTAAAAGCCATGGAGAAAATCTACTGACTTTAAAGGAGCACTTCTTAGATGAAAGCATATGGCCACATACATCCCCATTGCACAGCTCGTGCTTTTGAACCAACCCTGAAGCTTATCTGTGCAAACTACAGTGTCTGCAATGAATTTTCACTGTGTAAATCAGAAAAAGACTTGGTTCTTGTTACCTGCACTGCAGACAGACAGCAAACTTACTAATGAAGTGCCGATAATTGCTTAGTACTGTTCATTTGGTTGACATTTTTCTGACAGAAATTAAACAGATTTAACAAGAAAAAGATGTAATGGTATTCAGATGTATTTTAAAAGATTCCGTGACTAGTCTTTTGCATATGATGTTTTTTCATAGAGAAGGTATACAGAGAACAGCTCTGACTTCAGATTATTTTGCCAAATTTCTCTCATTTCAAGATGTTTCAATTCGGGGAAAATATCCCATTAATATTGTAGATCAGTATTGATTGAACTGATATAGACTGGAATACAACAATGCTACCTAAGCTAAAATTCTGCTTCACGCTGATGAAATTGTTTGTCCTCTAAACATATGCATTACAACAAATAGCCAGAAGGAATGCATTGTGAAGCAGATCACATCTTTGCATTATTTAGTTTCATATTTAAGTCACACATTGATTTGGAATGATTTAACACCATTTTATATAGATAATGTGCGATTATTGCTTTAATTTAGAATAAAGCCATCCATTACAACTGTACCATCTAAAAATTTTGCAGAAAAGAAATCCACTCTAAAAGATATAAATCAAGATATATTAAGCCAAGCCAGCTGGCCATCCATAAGAAAATCAGGCTTAGACAGAATGCTATTATGGTGATGATGTTACATGGGGAATTTATCCCCCACATAGTACATAAAACTAATTGACTCACTTGGCAGATGATATGACAACTGAATGCTGATCAGAATTGAGAATTTTTGCAAGATGAGCAGCAACTGAATCCTCATAAGCAGATATCTGAAAACAGAAAGAAAAGAGACTTCATTCCAGCAGTTTAACCCAAGTAGTGGGTTTAAACACCTCAAAAATAGCAATATTTCCATTTCAGATCTAATACAAGACCAAGTGTCTGGCAACAAAGATTGTATGTGCATACTGCATTTTATGTGCTGGATTTTAAATATTCCAAGTTGAACTGCATCTGAGATCTTGCTCCACCATTCTTTTCCTATTGTAGAGAAAACATTATTGCTAGGCTAAAATCAGACTGTGAGGCAGAAAATAATTTACCTTCTCAGATTTATAACAACCTACAGTATTATTATCTAATATCTTTTACTTCTAAAATAAGTAAAGCTTTCCTCAAACAAATTGCTCAATGAGAAAAAGAATAAATTTAAAGTTTGCAGTTATGATCTGGAATTTTCACTTTACTGTCAGGTGGACTCTCACAGACAGGGGGTACAAAACCACAACTGACAGAGGCTGCCAAACTTGTATAATGTTATCAAAACCAATCCTCAAGGAGCAAACCATTTAGGGCTTAGCCTTTACAAGAACATTAAAAATTACAAATTAAAAAATACTAAGGAAAATATTTGGACTGGATCAAAAATGAATCCTCATACACCATACCTTATCTCAAAATAGCTCTGAGTCCAATTTTAAAAGAAAATTCTAACAAAAGTCCAAATCCAAAGCTAAAAATAAATGCAGTCTGGCAGCTCCCTTTAAGAATCTCTTGAAATCTCTTACCATGCTTTTGTTATTTATTTTGGACAGACAGATATACCACTTCAGTTTTTTCTCCTAAAACCCAGCCTTCATTGTAGGACTCTGACATTGAATCAGTTTTCATTTCAAAGGAGAAAACAAAATATAAACACCTGATCTGTAAGAATTAACTACAGTTTTTCAAACATCAGTACAAGATTTCTGGAAATCAAGTGGAATTAGTCTCCTGAAACTGCAGGAGGAAGGAAGGGGAAAATGAAAAGAATGAAATACGTACTTCCATTTGCTTTGCAAACTGTGGTATAATCCAACACCTACTACAAGGTTAATTTTTTTTTTTTCTGAAATAGCTTAACTCAGTAAACAATGTAAAAACCCCATTAAAATAGAGATTGAACAGGATACTCAAAAGCAAACAGTTTTGTCCAACTCAAGTAATGACAGGTATTATAGCCTACAGAATACATTTTCTAAAAAGAAGTTTTATATGAGCAAGCAGTTCCTTCCATTTTCAGAAGGGGCTAAAAAAAGTTTCAAAGCCAGAAATAACTGGAACAAAATGATGATGAAGACACACTTGAAAATTTTAACTGTCTTGAAAAATTAGGGGTGATAAAGCCTTGATCTGCATTGCTGACATCAGAAGCAGAGCTGTGTGCAAAGCAACCCCCTTAAAATCTCAGCTTCTTTGCATCTCTTTATCCAGCAATCCATCAAAGGTTATAACCACCTTGCCAATTAAAAGAGCCTGAATAATTAAATTGTTCAAGAGACTACTGATTAATTATGGCTTCTCAAGTACTTTTGAGCTACAGTTGATATGCATTAACTTTCTTGGGAATATATTATTTTCTCCTTTTCAGTCAAAATTTTCATGCCAATTAATTTGATTAAAGCATCTCCCTCTCTCGAAACTGAAACCTCATCAGCTAGTACAAGCAAAATTCTAGTCTGGAAGACAGACTAAGCTTTTCTTTGATGAAGCTTAGGATTTTGAGCTCTCTCGAAGAACAAAGAGAAAGTTGGGTGATATCACCTGATCAAACTCAAGCTGCAAAATCTTCTGTCTTTAGGAATACAGCCCTTGCCTCCAAAATGCTGGGGGCTTTTTTTCAATGCTTAATCCAAACTCAACATAGCAGACATTTGCTTTTATATATTAAAAAAATACCTTATTTTACAAATAATTATGCATATTATCATAGTATATATATATTATTATACAGTAATATAGCACTTTATTATAATACTATATTAAAAATTCTATATAATATAGAATAACATGTAAGAATTACCTAAAATATATAGTATTATTATATCACATAATAATATGACACTACATTACACTCTTGTCTAACATGATACATAAATAAGCTTTCTCATACATATTAAAATATACGTATACATGCAGGAAGAAATTTTTCAGAAAGCTTTGCTGTAGACTCCTTTTCTTCATTCCATCTAGGCAAATAATACAGAACTGGAAACATTACTTGCTTGAGATATACAGCAAGAAAAGGCCTTAGTTCAGTTACAAGATCTCAAAACACCTATTTTTCACAGAAATGCTTCAGTTACGGCTACTGACAATCCAGAAGTGCCAAGTTAAGTACACAAAACAACAAAACAAAAGTAAAAGTGCACCTGGCACTCCTCTGACTCTTCTGCAGTCGCAGGAAGAATAGAAGGCTTTGCTGGTAATTTCAGTTCATATGACATTATACTCCACCTGAAAGAAACATAAGTTTCCAGACTGTTAGTTTTACATTCTCTCTACTATATTAACAAAAAGAAAATTCACTGTCATACCACAGAACAGCTATGTATAAAAAAAAAGCAGCTTAATTTGTAGTTGTAAACTGTATTGGGTGAACTAACTGAGATTAAAGGTAATTATTTGTTTTATTGCTCAGATTATTTTTAGTGATTTGATTATCAGTCTCATTTGTTAAAAAAAAAACATGGGACATTCAGTATAGGCAATAAGGATTTTCTGGAACAAAAACATTCACATTACAGAAGAATTTGTGCAAACATGCTACAGAAGTCAAAGGAAACTAGACATCTTCCTGAAGAAAAATCTTTAAGGTGACATTAGCGTTCCATCTCAACTAGAGGAGGCAGCATGAAAAAGCAAATGATGAAGTGTCTTCCTTGACATATATATATATATTTTTTTTGTCTGGTACAGGACAGCACTTGACAGCACAGATAGTATGAAACCACTAATAGCAACAACATCTTTCAAAGTCTGCTGAAAAGAACACGTAATCACTGCAGATGGGCCTTGGGAGCAAGTCCACTGAAATTAGACCAAAAAATTAAACAGAGGATTTTTTCACGACAGAAAAAGGGAAACATGATTTAATCTAAAAGTTGTTCAGAATCTGAGGATCAGTAACAAGCATTTCTCTACATACTTTGCAGCAAAGCAATCAAGTAGTCTAGTGCTAGACTTACATTGTAACAACATGACCATCATCATGTCTGATTTTTTTTTTTTTAAATAGGGATTGCTGCTTTTCTTTATGGATGAAAATAACACGAAACAAGGAGTGGGAAGATCTCATTTTTTTGACAAAGAGAAAGCCTCAAACAGAAGTATTAGTCATGGATCCAATTAGCCCAGCATCTTGTCAACAGCTGATGCCTCAGGAAAGGGTGAAAGCACTCAAGGTGAGTTTTCCCCACATCCAAGGACAGAGAGCTCAATTGTTTTCTAAATAAAGATGCTATCATTAATGGTGTCTAATAAGCATGCATAGAGTCCATAAAATTGCTCAAATCAGTTTTGAACAGACACCATTTCTTAATGATCACATCTTCTTGTAACAGGCAGTTATGCAGTTCCTTCAACCGTGCAATGTGGGTATCTGCTGTCAACTTTTGAACGTGTTTGGACATCACACTTCCCAGTTCCATCAACCATTCATCCCTCTGACTCTTTAGCTTAAAAAGCAGGCTAAAGGGCTGTTCCAATTACAACTGCAGCTTCCTTCATGATTAAGACCTGCACTCAAAAACCAAACCCACTGAACACCAAGTCTCCAAGATGGATTTTAGGCCATCAGAAACCCAAATAAATACAATTTAAATCTCATCGTAAGTGATGTATAAGCACATTTAGTTTTACCTGTCTAACATTTTTGTGCTGGCTCGTTCAAGCTTTTCCAAAATTTGAGGAAGCTGGGTATCATCATCACAGGATCCTCCCCAACCAAGGACACGAGCAAGGTCATTTCCAGTACCAAGAGGTAACACTCCCAACTGACACTGAAACACAACACAGGAACAAATCTACTATTGAAAACTAGAAAGAAAATACAAGTGGTTACAAATGCATGTTATTTCAATCAACAAATGTTACTTTCATAGATGATGTCTAAAGCCTGAAAGTCAAATTGTGCTATTCTGCTACAATTCATCCTGTTTATAACCATGAAAACCTTCATTAAACAGTAACTATTGAGTTTACCCCATACACAGAGATACAACAAATAACCAAGCCAAGGAAAAGGTAAGCACACAAAATTAAGCCTAGTCAGTCTAGGAGAGGAAAGTAAATATGCACACTTGCCTGCTTGTGCAAGCTGAGCTTATCAATTTCTGACAAGACCCAACCCACGCTTCCATCGCCACCACACACAAGGATCCTGAAGTTGTCAAACTTCTGAAATAATCGCAAACTGCAGAGAAAATGCAGAGCTAGTTACATCCATTAGCAAGAGAGCAGTGACATTCATTAGCAATTGTTACAAGAAAATATTATGCACAGCATTTTTATGATCCTTTTACTGTTGTGGGGTATGGGGATACAACCATCTACCTAATTAACCTATCTGCAGCCCATCTGTCACTGTATATTCCACTTATATTGACATTTCTGATAAATAACATGCCAAGTTATTCTTTAAAAAAATCCCTTGATATTGTTTTCAGGATTTTGTAAATCCAATTTTATTGATTTTATTAATATTTTTTTAAAAATTAAAAATTAAGTGATAAAATTGCAACTGCTCCATGCTTCTCACTTCAGCCAGAAGCATAATGCACCACTGGGGATTTTTCACAAGAAAAGGTAAAGAGAGAATGACAGGATGTGCTCCACAATACAAGTGGGCTTATGTCAGCAGGGGGCTAACTAAATGTAAGGACCACTGAGAGAAATTCTTAAACATAAGGTGATCACAAAAATACAAGAAAAAATAATACAAGTATTTCATATTATATCCTTAAAGCCATATGCTACTTTGCTACCTATTGGTCTTCCTCCTGTTCTCTGACTTTTAATACCTCCAGAATATAACATTTGGACAGTACAGAAAAGGAGGACAAGAGAGACAGAAAATGCAGAAAGGTGAGACACAGAAGAAACAGGAATGACATGTGAAGAAACAGCAAAGAGGTAAAAACAACAGGGACTTTAAAAACAAATAAATAATAAAAATTAAAAATTGGAAATATGAACTCTTAAAATACTAAAACCAAAGATATTTATTTTTAATGCATGTTATTTTCCAGAATATGAATAATTTCTGAACCATTTCTAAAAGGAAACATTTTTGAAGCATTTGTATGTTTTCTAGAGAAAATAATGTCACTTGAATACGATGGGCACATACCTATTCAGAACAAAAGAAGCAGATATTTAAGAGGAAAAAATGTTGATACCAGAGCAATTTATCTTATCCCAAGAAAAAGGAGAAAACCCCTAGAAATATACTGTCTCATAGAATGCACCTCTGCTTTTTAGATCAGCTAGAAAGAAAGAAGTGCAACCTGATGGAATAACTGCTAAGTTATTCCTCTCCTTGGAAACTCTGGGAGGAGTACTTAAAGAACCCAACATGAACTGCAATTTCTGTGCAAAATCAAAGTGAGCCACCTCAACCATGCTAGAGCTATATGTAGGAAGAGAACTTGCAAACATGTTTTTCAGACTGTCTCCTTTCAAAGACTGTCTAATCAATTAAGACAAATGTTATATGTCATTATAATTACACATATAAAATGCTAGCTAAAAGTGACTTAGATTCAACTCAAATTATCAGGGTTATAATGAAAAGAATATTACAATTCAAAGAGTTACGATATGACATGTCCATAACACACAGTACCAATTATTATAATCCACAGCTGTAATCAATTATATTTTTATTATTTATGCACTGCTTGAATTGAATTTTTGTGGATTTGTTTCATCTACTTTTTATCATTAAATATAATTCTTTGTCTTCACGAGTACAAAAATTAGTGCTTCTAGCTGCTGAAACTATTAGGCCATTTAACCACATCACTATATCTGAGTGTGAATTCAGTTAGGCAACAAAAATATAGGCACCAATTAATCTTCATGAATGTGCAAAGATGCTTGAGTTGTGGCTACCACTATGCAAATTCCAACACTATCTCTCCAACAATCAGTCCTTAGATTTTGGGGAGAAATGCCTGGTGATTTTAATTGTGTTCTTGCTCCAAATTCTGTGGGATGGTCATTTTCTTGACTATTTGCATATGTTGCATAAACCATATTTTGGATATGGCTTTCACATGAAAAATTTTTCATGTACTTGTTCATTACCCACTGCAGACCCCTTCTACTGACATTTGTCTTCAGAATTTTAAAAGATACAGAGCACATTTAGACAATAGTTTTATTCCACAGCTACATACAAAAAGGTCAGAGGAATTTCAGAATTATGCATGTGAAATGGAAGAAAAGCACCTGGGCAACTGTGCAGAGAGCCAAAATCAAAGTTCCTGTGATACAGGAAAACATCTGAACATTTATAACAGTTTTGAGCCTTACCAGATTACAGAAGTCAAAGCTAGCCAAGAGCTTTTGGGTTTGAATTTTCGAGCCTTTCTAGAAGGAAAATGTTATCCTACAACCCCTTCAAGCACCAGAATTTATTTTGAAATTCTGCTGTCTCTTAGATTTTAATTAGGAAGTCAGAGTAGATATTGGTGGTAGAATTATAGCAACAAGGGGATATAACACTATAAAAAACAAGGGGAGCATAACACTACACTTTGCACCTAATTCCCTTGTGGAAAGGCTTGCTCAAGATTTCCAAGGTCATTACCCTAAGTGAGGTCCTCCATTCATTAAATCGAAGACCTGAGCTGGATTTAACGACTGTTTGAATCGACGAAGAAACTTTACTCCCTGATTGTCTCCACTCTTTGAGTTAACAAAAACTAAAAGAGGACTGGCACAGGATGGCGGGCATGTGGCTTTCCAGAAACCTGTAAACATAGTTAGAAAGAATGAAATAAATAAGGTTTCCTAATATGAACAACACAAAAAGAAATCATGGGAAAGAGGAAGATAGGGATGAAGGACAAAAGGAGTACATTTTATCATGCATAATGTAAATGCTAAACTGAGTATTAGTCCTGCAAGGAAAACATAATTGCACCAAGATTTACTAGCCTTTTTTTTTTCTTTTGGTTCTGGCATTTTCAGTGCCTAGATTTAGTAAAATCCTGAAGACAATAGCTTTATTATTTTTCAACTGCTATTAACCTTTTAGAATACTTCTTAAATCTCATCTTCACAGATTATCACATAATTGAATATATATTTTAGTTACAAGCGTTTGGTTTTCAATCTTCTTTTGCTTTAATTTTACTGGGTTGAACTGGATCATTCATGTCTGTTTGAACTTTTTAAGAGCACTCACAGATTTTAAAAGTTACTTGTACTCAGTTTCTCCCAGGAGGAGAGACTTCATGTAAGAGCCTTTTTTCAGATTAAGGTTACACTATAAAGTATAACAGAATCACTGAACAACAAAAGACCTTCAGCTGTGTTTCAAAGCTTATTAAAGACAGTGCAGGTCTTAACTAATTACAGCAGGCTCTCTACAAAGTCCTTAGTCAGAAGCACTAATGTGACACTGTTGCTGCTAACATGACCATCCATGGAGGTAATGGTTTCCCAGCAACACTTCAAAATCAGACATCACATGTATAGGTTTTGACATTTGTCTCCGGCAGTATTAAAACTATTATGTTGTTTTCAATTACTAAAAAAAATACTAAAGCTACAAATAAAAAATTTCATTAAGGGATGCTAATTTAATTCCACATTATAATAATGCTTAATTTCAAGTAAGGCTTGATTAATTAATTTAAATGCCAAGAAAACTAACTTCACATATTGAACAATCTTCCTGGCACGAGTAATAAATGACAGCATGATGTCTAAGACACCACAAACCAAATAAATAGAGTGAATACCTACAGCATACAAATAACTTTTACTAACTTCATGTAAAAAAATTCATTGAATTCCATTCAAATTGTTGGTCTACTTTGCCATCAACACAAACTATAAAATTAAAGCAGTTAAGATTTTGTGGTATTTCTTTTTTAAATCCACTCTCTGCCTTGAAGTGCAGTCTCCCACTGTTATGTGTCTCTATCCTGAACCACCAAAAAGTATCTCTGAGTTTTGAGCATTTTCTGGGTTTTTATCTGTGCACTGCAGCATTTTTACACTGCTTGTATTTTAAAAATATAAATTAAAGAAGCTACGGAAGCAATTCCTCTCTTAAGCCTGGTAAAGTTGTTGGATCTGAGCTGTTCAGCTAGCTTATCTCTGCATAACACAAAATTACCCAAAATTTGAGAACTCACAGAAGGAGTGGTGTATGCCAGTCAGGCATCAGCCCACTTCATCTGAGGACTCTGATCATTCACTCGAAATGTTTGTAAGGGTCATAAGTAAAAGGGCAGAAAATTTCTGCTGGGGCAACTTTAAAAAACATGACAATACAATAATTCTCTAAAAATCTACATAGAAAATTATACTTCTCTCTAAATTTGCAGAGTGCATTCACCTGCTCAGCATTACATTGGCCAAGTGGACATTTTCGAGGATACAGATCTTTACAGGCCGTGTGAACCTACAAAAGAAACAAAAAATTGTTTTCCTTCAGCAGAATTTTGAGGTGAAAATACAACTGATACTATGTTATCTGTGTAGCAAAAATGGACTCATATATAACATTTGGGAGTTGAGGGAAAAGGAGTGAACCTAGGGAAAAAACCCAAATGTTCAACCACAGAGCCTAGTCACTATTTCAAGAAAACATTATTTTGGAGAACTTCAGCTTCCCCTATAGCAGATAAGAATTATCCTTGCAATGGAATCACTTCCCCCATCCCAAAGCTGGGCCAAATAAACTCCATATTGTAAAGGTCTCTTCCACAGATATTGGAAAGAAAGGCACATGCAGAGGTGGCTGCATTTCACCTAAATTTCAAGCCAGCTCTGGAGATGCCAATCATTTCCTGCTGCTCACACACAAAGCCTTGGACACTTATCTGCCACAAGCTTCAACAATAAATAAACTTTTGACTCGCATAAGAAACACATCTTTTTAGACAAGTTCATAAAATTAAGAGAAAGCTATATATTAGGGAAAGAGTGAGTTAGAGAATTTCAATCAGCAACCTACAGATTGTCCTGAAGAAGAGAAAGTCAAGATTTTGCAGTAATAAACAAGTCAGTCCATTAATATTAATAGATATTAATATAACATATTACTAAAATATTAATAGGGCAATAGCTACAATAAAAAATACAAGAAAGTATCATATGATTATTAGGTGTAAGGAGCAGGGACCTGGACATTCAGTTTACAGCTAGAAGTAAGCAGAGAAAACACATTGGATACCTATTAAAGAAAAGCTGCATCTGTGGGTGTATTAAGAATTAACTGTGCAAGTAGGACAGTCATCAGAAGTTCTGAATGCTTGAGAGACCTGAGTTTGCAGAAGCTGCCTGATCCTATTTAATCCAAATGCCGGTTGTGAAACGACAAAACAAAAATAATGGCAAGCAATAAAGCTGTCAAACTGTGAGATGCTTGGATGTGGTTCAGCACACCTACCATAGCTTTACACCAAAGGCACTTCCAATCTTGCAGGCGTAGAACACTGCCACAAGTCTTGTCGCAGACTGCGCATTTGGCACTGACAGGCAGGTTTCCCTCTAACCACTGGTGAGGCATAGCTATCTGTGGAGAAGGAGTCATTAGAGTTAAATACCCAGAAAGAGAAATTAAAGGCTTTTGTCTCTCAAATATAGGTGGATTCAAACTATTTCTCACAGCTGTGCCCTTTCATCAAAGAAGCAGGTATGCTGGTCAGCCAGAATAAGGGATACTGATGCTCAGAAGGCAATAGTGACGAATGGACCATTCCACGTGCTAGGAAGAAAACATGACACCTGAAGAAAGGAGACATGTCTCACTCATGGCAGTGACTAACCATAACACAGTGGGGCAGTTAAGTCCAGAGACTCCATCATACAAACAAGTTCCCACTCGGTTATGCTGACTACATGACATAAACCAATAAAAAATACCTAAAATTCATAAAAATAGGCAGAACAGCAGAATTCCTCTGTCGCTTCACTTACCCACTCACCATGGCTGGTTAAGTCACAGCTCTATAAAGCAGTCCCAAATGCAGTGCAAACCTTTACTCAGTGCACTCTTTGTCCCATTAATACCATGGGCAACTCAGGACACTCAGGTGTTCAACTTAGTACCAGCCTTCTAGGAAGAAGCTTCACACCCGTGGTTCATACACAGCTGTGTTTGTAAAAATAGTCCATTTATCACAATCAACCTCTCAAAAGCTTTTTCTGTTTCTCCTGCTATTTTTGAAATTCCTGCTTTCATTGCCAAAAACCCCTCCCAATTCAGTGAATTCCAAACGGCCCTCCTGGGGAATTGCTCCAGGTAAAGAGGACAAAAAATAGATTGCCAAAACAGCATGGTAACGGTGTAAAAAACCACCTGTGCTTAAGAGCAGTAGGAACTTCTGGGAGCAATTCTCCAGCTGCAGAGTTTCTCCACATGTGGCCTTTAAAACCTTGTAATACATCTGCAATCTAGTGCCCACAGTTGTAGACTTGTCTTGTGATTTAGGAATACAACTTTTGCTCTAAATACCATGTTAATCCTTGAACAGTGTTCAGGGAAATAGCCACCTGCCATTAATTTCAATGGGTCATATGGCAATATTTCTGTGGTTGGGCTTTTTTTTTCTCTAAAAAAGAAACAGTTTTGGAAAATAATGTAAATATGAATAGTACTTACACCGTCTTCATCTTCAATGATATCTTTTCCAATTGAGGCTAATGTAGTCCATTTGCAGTTATTTGTTGCTCGGACAGCACATCTTTTATGTGCTTTAAACTTACACACTGCAAGACACAGATAAACATATATATCCTGTCTTATTTCCTGTATTTCAGTAATACACTTAAATTTTAAAAATTTAAACACAGACATCCCATAAAATAGCCAAGTTCATGTCACTTAGTGTTGCATACATTACACAAAACAACTAAAAGAACAATTTAAAAGAGAAAGTTCATAATCACTCCAGCTTTAACTCTCTAAACTGGGTTTAACTTAGTTAAACTAACTACTTAGCTGTAGCCCATGCTAAGTGTGCCCTGAAATCCACATCAGTCCCCATTTTTTCAGGTGCAAGGTACAATATATGTGTAACTATGGGTTTGCCTTTTCCAATCCTCCTTCAACAAGACTCAGATATCCGACTTAAATTTTCAGGAAGTCATGGGAGAGAGTTTTACGAAAGTATTTCAAATCAGGAGCTCTGTTTCTTTGCCCAAAAGATGCCTTTGGGGCACCATGCTGGGCCTATTTTTCTCAGAACATGAGAAAGTGAAGGGTTTACATGGTGATATTTTTATTCAGGATACTGGGGATTACAAAATTTTCCAAGAGCCCATATCAAATCAGGAAGAACCTTACTTTTTACTGCATTCTTTATTAAAAATCTGCTAATTGGAATACCCAGCACAAGTGTGTAGTTAGGCAGACATTCTGACAACTTAATAACTATTTGAATTTTGTTCAACTTAATTAATATGCCTAGGTAATGATACCATATTAGACCAAACAGACTGACGCACCCAAACTGTCGATATTTCTTCTACTGGAAGTGCATGATGTAATTCTATTTAGAGTGCATTATATAAATTATTTTGGCAAAGACCATTAAAGGTTTATGAGAACTAGCCAAAAGATCAGAAGTAGTAGCCTCTGTTCAAACAAATATTTGACAGGGAATTATCGAGGCTTTGGCCCATTGCTTATCTACCATTAAAAAACATTAAGCCATGGTACAAAATGTCTTGTGAATAATAAATTTCCCATTTTAATTCCACTGATCCATTGCCAGATCAATTTCAAAAGTGAATTGGGACTATGTAAGCAACATCTGAGTTTGAGAGCAAACCTCACTTCTGGGAGATGTGTGAAAGTAAGTGCTTAGCTCTCACTTTGTTATTTTCTAGAAAGAAAAAGAAAGTAAACAAAGTTTCATTGCTTTTACAGGAATTCCCCCAGTCATTTCAAAAAATAGAACTCCTATAATCATAGAATTATTTGGGTTGAAAGAGACATTTAAAGATCATTTAGCTCCAACCTCCCCTGCTGTGAACAGGGACATCTTTTACTAAACCAGGTTGCTCAGAGCTCCATCCAGCCTGGCCTTGAACACTTTCAGTGATGGAGAGTTCACAGCTTCTCTGGGTAACCAGTGTGTCACCATCATCAGAGTAAAGAATTTTTTCCTGCTATCTAATCTCAACCCACTCTCAGTTTGAAACCATTTCCCCCTGTCCTGTCCCTACCTGTCATTGTAAAAAGTCTCTCTCCATCTTTCTTGCAGGCTCCCTCCAGGTACTGGAAGGCTGCAATTACATCACCCCGAAGCCTTCTTTTTTCCAGGCTGAACAATCCCAACTCTCTCAGCCTTTCCTCACTGGAGAGGTGCTCCAGCCCTCTGATATCTCCATGGTCTTCCTACGGACTCACTCAAATAGGTCAATGACCCCCAACCTAAGAAAGGGCATGGACCTACTGGAGCAAGACCAGCACAGACTCAAAGCATGCAAATATCCCATTACTGTCAACTAACAGGGTAGACTCTTTTTCTAAACAACTCAGCATCACTCTCTGTGTTTGCCAACCTAAGCTGGTTCCAATCATCTAATGAAGCCAGCTCTCACAGAAGCACAGAAATAAAGGCTGTATTTTCAAGTGATGGACCATGAGCAGTTTTCACCATTTGAATGTTTCAGAGAAGACATGCCACTGAATTCAGCTCCCTACTCATAAATGATAAGTGTTTGATCTTGCTTTGCCACACAGATCAAAATACAACAAATCAGGGATGAGAGGAATAGAAAATTACAAAGTAATAGGATGTATAAACCCTACTGAGATATGATTGAACTTGATCTTAGGAACCCTGTATTCAGCTTCTTTATCAACAAGGCAAGGAGAAAATCAATCCCAGGCTCTGAAGAACTGCAGGAAGCCACCCTATAGATGGCAAGTGACAGGTAATGTTTGCTTTTTAAGTATTGTAAATAACCTACCAACCAAATCTCAGATCAGACTCTTTGGGTCACACCCCCTGCAACCTCAGTATCATGAGGTTATGTTATAACCTCATAACTAACATAACTAACAAGTTATGTTAGTCTGAACACTAAATACCACCAGCGACAATAACCTTAAGACACAGATGTAACTTGCAAGCAAAGACAGGAAAATTGTAATCAAATTGTAAGCAAACCTCAATATTAGTTACTATGACCTAACTTCTTTTCTCTCAGATTACACTGAATCCCATTCATGAATCAGTCTGATATCTGAAATCTTTCGGAAAACATGGAGACAGATGGCTAGACATCAACTGCCATTACTTCACCAATTAATACTAAAATATGAGAAAAGTCCAGTTATTCAGGAAACCTAACATTGCAATATAGTTTGTGAATGCAGGTGTGCAGTCGTTGGTTGTATGACCATACACTTTTAGAGAACAGGACCCTCAGTCACTGCATGCTATGAATGGTTCTCAACAGTATGGGGTTGCACCATACTATGCTTCATAATAATTTTCAACAGGTATTTGCCTTATTGACTGGAAGCTAATGCAATACTGCTTTTTAGCCATCAATATTAATTTCTCATCAATATTAATTTTTAATCTTTAAAAATGTTGTTGTTGTTGTTACACCCAGTAATGCTACTACTACTACAATGAAGACTTTTTTGCAATACTGTATATCTTCAAAGCATCAGGGACTTCAGAACAGCTCCAACTGATTTTTGCAGTTATAGAAAACAGCACTTCTGTGATACAAGTTGCAGCTTATAAACAATGCACAACTACTGATTTGATCAAAAATCTATTTAAATGTTTTCCTCAGCATCACAGAAGGGTACATATTATATAAAGTCATATAATAGTTTTCTACTACTCCTTCATTCTTAGACAACAAACATCCCTTCCCTTTTTTGCTGCCTCATTCACTATTCACTCTCCAGACTGTGCAGAGAATGTGGTAAAAGTATCAGAGACAATGACTGTGCAAGTAGTGCCTGTACAATTCCCTGGGCAATGGGTAAGAACAACAGGGTTTTGCGGACAAAACCCCACAATCATAATGGAAAAAGACAAAATGCACAAAGTGCATTTGCAGAGGTAATTTAATCACAGTATTTTCTTACTGCTTGACTTCATCATCCGAAAGTGTTCTCACAACATTGTTCATTTGTCACAGGAGAATGCAGTTTAAGAGAGAGGTTTCTCGCACTTACTAGCTTTACTTGATATTCAACAATCAAGATTCATGATAAACAAAATGCTACATGACAAAAATAAATTTCTGAGACTAATCATAAAGGCAGTGATCCACTGGCAATGACTTAGATAGAAATGCAGTATTGGTAAAGAGTAACTGAGGTTAAGAGAGCTCTGGAAGAGTTTTTGTAGATAATGATATATCGTTCTTTAAGCTTCTTTGCCTAAACATTCCATATTGAAGCTAAAGTCTGAGGAGCATAAAAACCAAAACGGTTTCTTGGTTGAGCTAGTTTGGAATAGTTTCTAAAGCAAGGCACAGAGATCATAATTACTCTGTCCTAGTAAAGACTGGATGAACAATGCAGAGATCAGTCTTTTAGCCAGAGCAACGCAACACACAGACAATATTGGAAAAGTAGCTTATCTTTTGAGAAGACACAAAAGAAAGAACCTGTGGGATGAACAGCTCTGCATCTCAAAGGAGAGCTTGATTAATTTTTCTTAGAAGTCAATTGTTTGTTGAGCAGCAGCAAGAACAAAGTCTGGTTTGTTATAACTTACATCTTCGGATTGATACACTTATCAATTCTTTCACTTCTAAAAAGGTGCAAGTTCACACTAGTCTTTTACCTAGCAAAGACATTGATATACCATCTTTTTCTACACTGGTTTCCACAAGACTTAGGGTATCTTCAGGGTGGCCTGCAATTAATTTGGCCAACCTTTGCCAAAGGCTATTGGGATAGAAGGTGCTCTGAAGAAAAAAGTCACCCATCATCTCCCAAAGAAACGCAGCTTGATTTGTGGTCAGACATAAAAAACCCAGTTCTGCAGGGCTGCTGGAAAACAGCAGAGAATTTTTAAGAGAATAAAATATTACAAGACAATTAAACTATCAAAAAGTGCAAGATATCAGCAATTTGGTTTATTTTTACCTATAGTTAAGAGTCAAGAATCAGACCCCAAAGACTCTAAGCTGCTTTCAAGACAACTTGGTGTACCAGTAGCCCAAACCACTAACAGGAGGAGGAGCTCAGTTATCTCTTGAAAGAGCTTCTCATGCTTTTCAATAGAAGGCATAATAGAGTAGCCTGGGATCAATGACCACACAAATAATTGAATTTAGTATAGATATAAATGGATTCCCAGTATAAAGCAGTGCTGGAGGTTTGATAAGCCAGGCATGAATATTTAAACAGGTTTTTAAAATTATGTAATGGGGAAAAGCAGCACAGAACAAGTCTGGGGAATTTTAAGACTCCAAACTTCCAAGATTGTCCTCTCAAATCAAATAGACTGTGAATACAGGTAAGTTAAAGAAAAAAATAGATGATTAAATGCATTAGAAGTGTGCACAGCAGAAGCAAGTATCAAACAAAAATGCAGTTTTTAGGAGAAGAAATTAAGGATAATGGATTTTAATGTGTATACATAGTTGCAGAGAAAGTATAAAATACCAGAGTAAAATAGTCAAATAATTTAGATTAGATATACAACTAAAGATCTTATTTTAGTTAAAAAAATAAGAAAATAGATATAAAATATATTTTATTTTATTAAAAAAAAAGAAGAAAATAGATATAAAATAGAAGCTAAGAAGTAAGAGGAGAAAAACATTGACTAAAGAATATCACAGTATCTACATATAAAACATACTAGGTCATACACAATTATGAAATGTCGAACAGTGAAAGGAAATCCAAATCACTTTCACAAGCTAATTGTAAAAACTGTCATCAGAACTGTGGAAAAATGTAGCATTAGTTTGTCATAAATTATACAGAAAGGTGACAAACTCCAAACCTGGAAATTATGGGAACTTCTCTAATGTAAAGTTAATGCCAACCCTCTGTATATTACAAACATATTTAGATGCAAAATTAGACACTGAAAAGTCTAATAAAATGGTGATCTACAGACATTACTACTGATAATCTTACAGTAGTAATTCTTGCTAAACATCCTTTTTAAAAATAGCTATAATACTAATTTAGGAATAGATAAATGCTTTATGAAAGTCCTTTCCTTTGCCTGTGCAAATATAGCTGTATTTGTACACAGAGGCAATACAACTGCATTTTAGTTAAGCACATGATACTTCCATCTGCCAATATCAGACATTGGGAATACCATAATTGCCTTTAAACTGTCCAAAGGACTTACACACAGAGGAAAACATACGCCAGAGAAGCTGAAAGTAACCAAGCTACTTCTAATTTCTACAAAACGGATTTGTCCTGTTCCTTGGCAACTGCACCATTAGCTACATTAAAAGCATGGACAATTCAGGACAGTGGGTTAATGTTTCCTTTGTAAGATTTCCTTAATATATGTTATTATCCTCAAGTATTGTAACAGCATCAATAACAGAAACGCATTTGCAGTTGGATTACATACATCCAAAGAAATCAAATTATGAGTGGTGTAACTGTAACTCTTTCCTGGGCAGTCAGCTATTTTAGTAATTAAATATCTCTATATTTCATATATATCATAAGGTCACACGACACTTTATTTTCTGCTGGCTCCTAAAACAAGCAGACTTGTTACCACTTTTCCACAGAACTTGCAGGAAAAAATAAATAAGCTGTTTCAGTTATATTATAATTATTTTGTTCATTAAATATTATTTATTCAGCTAAATGCTGAAGACTTAGCCACACTTCCTTTTTCTTTGTGCTGGATTTCCCCTATTGAACCATCATTGCAGTCAACTACATCTCTAGTCCTTCACAGAATGAGAGAATTTTTTAAGCAGTAAATCACTGTGTTCTGCAGGATCAGGCAGCAGCAATAGAGCAAATAAGAATTGGAGGGGAAGGGTCATAATACTTTGTTCAATGATAAGAATTTTTTTAGATTTGGGGCAGAAAATACCATCATGGGTTTGTTTTTTTTTTCTGAGAAGTGCTGATTCTGCAAACCAGTCAGACTATTTTGTTCCACACTTTTGATGCACAAATCAAATAAATCCTATCTTTTCTTGCAAACCCTCTCCCCTTTACACTCCAAACTGATTGCTGCAACAGAAAGAAGTGTTCTATTGAAAAAGGCACCTGGAGCAGCAGGAAGGTGAGGCAGATCATTAGCAGTCCCTCTGCCCAGAGGAGGGTCACTCTCATGTTAACATTTCTCCCTTCAGGCTCTTTTGTTACTCATTATTGTCAGGATCATTACTCATACCGAACTTGCAGCCATCTGTCTACACACACAGCATGATAACCAAGGGGAAGCATTATTTTACCTTCACAAGACAGGCCGTGAGAAGTGACTCCAGAGAGGCTCTCTCTGCACACGTTACAGAAGGTAGGTCGGGCGTGGGAGCAGGCGTACCAGTTATGCATCCCTGAGAAATGTTCCACATTAAACTGTGCGGTCTAGTAAAGGAGAAGTTAAGACAAATTTGCAAGTACAGAACACAGCTACGGTGACTGACATTACTCATGGTTCCGTATTACAGGGGACAACAGTGAAACGCTCACCAAAAGGATTTTCCAAAGGGTATTTAGCCTGCTCTCCCTCCGAAATTCTAAACCAAAGTGTGATAATAAGCTCATATTTTGCTAGTGAAGTTCTCAACATGAAGCTTCACTCTGACATTACACACACTTTTCACTCTAAGGAGGGGGAATACTCCAGTTCTGTGTCCTGTAGCTTGATTTGTTGAGCTAGAACAGGTTGCACCAAGAGGGATGTCAGCTTACCTCATAGTGTTCTCTGGACTGAACAGACTTCAGAGAGCTTATCCAGTCCTCCATTTCTTTTCTGTTCTCAGCACACAATATTAGCCTCCTAAATGGAGTGATTATCTGAAAAAGACAACACATCCTGATTAATCCAGATGGAAAAAATCATGATAGACTATGCTATTTAATATACTCTTCCCTGTGAGATGATGCAAAATGATGACGTGCCCTACAAGGCAAGATACTAAACAGTTAAAAATATTTTCTTTAATGCCCTACCAACAACAAAAGAGTTTGTTTTTCCTTGTACAATTCCCAAGATTCAAATCAGGTCTCTGAAATCTACATTGATCATTACCCCTTCTCAGTTCTTCATGCACTGAGATTTAAATGCTCAAATGGCAGGCACTGAAATGCTAAAACAACCATTCTGGAAATTACTAATTGACTAAGACTGCAATCCTATTTCATAACTGCATCATAGCAACTGCAAGGTCCATTCCAATTGCTAGAGACAAAAGCATATCAAAATCAAAAGCCAGGAAGTCTTAAACCATCATAAAAGCTGTCATCATATTTCACTATCTTGTATATTGACAATATATTTACACAAATTTATACGCACAAAAATTTAAAACAGCACTTTTTATATCCAACTATATCAACCCAGTATAAGAATACATACAAGTCTTTCTAAAAAGGCACAGAGAACAAAAGCAAACAGCTGAAATCATATCCTACTAGGACAATTGAATGAATTCCTGGAACAAGTTGATGTTGGTCATCTGGAGTAGGATTCTAAAAATCTGAAAATACTAATACTGAAAGTACTAAGGAGGTTCAGAGTAAAAGCTGCTCTCCCCTCTCCCTAAACAGTAGAAAAATAATCAAAATAACAGGAAGGCAACAGAAACTATATCAGCTAACTCCCACTGAAATTATTTTGAGCACTGCATTAAAATAGACAAAGCAGTTACTTACATGGAGAATAATTTAAAACAAGTACAAGAAAATAAAGAAAGTTATTTGTTTTGTTGTAGAAAGTCTGAAAAATAAAATGAAATTCTTTATCAGTACTATGTGATACAGTGATTAATCTCTCACATAGTATGTACCACCAACACTTGCAAATTACTTAAATAAATAAAGGACCCCCCAAAAATGATAATTCTGAGTATTTTAAATGCTACAAGCTAGACATTACAACATTTGCACTATATTAGTAAACACTTATCTACAGCTGCAGTTACTTACCCAATCCCTGCTGTAAATTGTCTCTAGCCTTGATTTGTCCAATCTACTCCTTCATTAAACTGAGCTGCACTTTAACATATCTCAGAGGCGACGTAACTGAAGTGCAGCAGGCTGCAAGTCACATGGAGGGGAGGCAAAAACCCTTTCGGCTTGCCTCTTTTTTTCCTTTTTTTTTTTTTTTTTTAATGTACTCACTTCACATGGAAGGGAGTAGTTTCTTTGTTTTCTGCTTCCTTCAATCTTGCTTAAGCTATTTAATAAGGTTTATTAGTAGCTCTCCATCGCTTTTCCTAAAGAACAGTTTATGCAAAGAGCAATGCTTCTCTCATTAGTTTGGAGCCAAACAGATGCTTTATTACCTCAAAATGTTTTCCTAGGCCAGGTCATCCAATGAAGCCAAGAAAAGTCAATAGATCATAATACAACCCTGGCTCCAACAACAATCAGCATTCTGATTTTTCTGAAATTTCCAGATTTCAGTGGATATAGAAATTTTATTTGGGCAAATACAAGCCACACATTATTTCTTATTATATGGCATGAGATTATAATATAGATTAAATAACGATAAATCCACCCAAGACTCAGCACATTACGTCCATCCTTCTGCCACAGTCATTACTGATTATAACCAGTAACCAGACATTGTAAAATGCCACTAAGCAACAACAGCTGCATTTATTGCTGAAAACTCCTGACTAATCTTGATCTTTTCAAGTAATATTTATATATATTACTACCGATTCAATACAATTTGTCACAGAAATCCACTCTGCATCCCTCCACCCTCTCCCCCAGAAATTAAGTCCTTGGTCCAGTTGTTCACACCCATTACCTAGTAGTAATGAAAACACCCTTTGGTATCCAAAGTTTTGCCAGGGGAGGGGTAAATATGACAGAGGAGCAGAACAGCAGCTATAAATAACCGAGCTGGGACACCAAACTTCATCTCAAAATGCAATGCACACCCATTTTTTGGCAATCGAATCACATCACCAAATACTAACCGATGCATGCAAACATACCAGAAATTCATATATTCCACCTTCTTACAAAAATCAGAGTGCAAAAAACTTAATAAAGTTCATAGCGTTGCAACAGTCTAACAGCTCAATAGGATACTATCAATCACATGAATCAATTATATTATAGGATCAATTATTATTAGTGCCACAAAAATAAATTTGGAAGCTGGAAGACATACATATCTGTAAGTACAATAGAACAACATATTCTCTTTGATTTACATATTTGCAAAAACAAACTTCAAAAAGGTACCTGGTAACATAAAAAAAGACAAAATGCATTATATGCAAGAAGTATCAGCAATGCTTGGAATTTTTCAAGTAACATAAAATAAAATAGGAACTAAGAAGCCCATTTGGTTTCTCATCCATTTCAGTCCACAAAATCATGGAGAAAATGTACTCTTATTATTTTTTAGACATTTCAAGTAATGTAAGAACTCAGGGAACCAAGGAAACTGTTAGCCAACAACAAGAAGTGTTTTTCCCTAAATGCAAAGCATTCTTTAAACTTGAAAAGTATTCCCAAAGGAGGCTGAGGAGATGAAAAGCAAAAATGTCCAAAAAGGCATTTGAAAAATGCACCAGAAATAAATGTTCCATATATAATAAAAGATAATACCTGAAATCTTCAACTTCTCAGGTCCTCAAAAATCCAATGAGTCAATGCTGAGAAGTGACTCAAAGGTAAGAATCACTGTATATGCTCTGATGTTTCTACTTCATTCTTTAGTATCTGCTACTATTATTATTATACTTTGATTCAACATGATCTTAAGAGTTTTACACTACTCAGTATAGCTTTTCTTGTTTATCCTAAATTGAGATTGACTTCTTATTTGCATTTATACAGATGGCATGCTTTCTTCTGAATGATTACACAATGCCACAATTAACTAAGTGGGATGTTTGAAGTTCATTCATTAAAGACAGCTGAACCTGTATACAGACATAATCAAAACAATTTTCCTGCCATGTAAATCTGAATTTAACTAGTAGTCTTATCTCATTGTATGTATTCATATTCTACTGACCCAAGTTAGCATCTTTTCTTCAATTACATATTACCTTTTTGATCTTCACTGCTCCAAATACTACTATTTGTATATCATTCTGAATATGCTGAATTTTTGACAGACAAGAAGAAAGAGAGAGAGAAAGATCACAAAAGATGAAGACAGTCAAAAGGTCTTAAAAAATAAATAAGATTACAATCCTTTGAAAATTTTCACCATGCCAAGTATCCAAGAAGTCTTTGCTGATTTTGGAAAATAGACTTACCAAGAGCAGATACTGCAGTATGTTGGAAAGTAATAAAATATTGGTAGTTGGAATAAAAAACAATTTTAATGCAGTAGGCATTGGGAAAGAGTGAGCATATACAGTGTTAAAAGTTGAAGACAACCAACACAAATCCTAAAAAATCCCAGGAAATAAAGAATGTCTGAATGGGAAGCAAAACTACCCATTACTGCAATAATGTTCCTGTTCTGTTCAGAAAAGTAGGGGGATTTTTTTGAGTGGGGAATGAAGGAGAGAGCAAGAGATCACTGTTCACTCTGCTATATAGGTCTTGACTAAATTGGGATTTTCACACAAACACTACAATAATTAGGCTTCTAAAAATATACATATATATATTTACATACACATCTTGAAATTACTTGGATCACATCTCTGCAGTCAAATTTGGGGCCACTACTGCAACTTTTCTTTCAGACAACACTTATCAGGAACAAGACTAATATCTTGAAAGGAAATAAAACTGTCATCAAATTCAGAGTAAATTTGAAAGTCCTTTCTTCTCTGAGTGGGAATAACCTAACCAGCAACATTCTATATGCTTTCAGCCCAGTGGGTTTAGACTTACAATCTATAAAATAAAATCAGAGAGTTTGATTAAAGCCTATTGCCTAATTTTTAATCTATTTTTTTACTATCAGCTATACATAAGAAAATACAGTTCCCAAAGCTTGTGGCTCCATTTCTGGCTTCTCTTACTAATCCAAAATGCAGACACAACGTTTGCTAATCAAGAGAACAGCGTTCTATACCCAAGTAGCAACAAAGCAGCTATTGTAAAGCACTCTGCTTCTTGCAACATATTTTCATCAAGGCACCTTCTGCCACTCTGAGCTATTATCAGGCATTACACTAATAGCATTTTGTATGGCTGATCTTGAATTAAATTACTAATGTAGAAATACCACTTAGTATCCAAATGGGGTGGGGAAATGGATACTTTTAAAATATCTTTCTGGAAACAATGAAGAGAGGATGACACAGAGAGAGCACCTCAACTCTCACCTTAGGGACCATATTCAACGCCTGGGGCAGGAGTGTAACATTAAATGCTTCCTAACGTGTCTGCGCTTACAGATGTTGGCAAGTCAGTACGGGTAAATACTAGGATAACATGCACTGCCTCCTTTGCTTTTTGTCTGCCCCTCCATGTCCCTGTCCTTGTGCAGGTGGGTCTGTATGAGTGTGGCAGGTGAATGCACCTCCATCAATGCTGGAATTAGACTGCTGGGGTCATTGATGCTTCCACACCTTCCAGAACTTGTCTGCAAAAATCACAGTGCTTACAGTTGGACATCTTTCTAGAGTATTCATAATTTCTTGGATGCTAAATGAATTATAACAGTACTGTCACTGCCAAAGATGTAGTTAGTTGGGGCTTTATAGTGAATCGTCACTGTTATTTTTCATGATGAGTCAAGCCAGACAAAAGTATAAATTACAAAGACAGGGGAGGAGTTAAAAGCAAGGCGGGTAATAAATGGTTATTATATTTGCCTGAGTACAATACAGAATTTATAATCAGAACAATTAGCTATGTCT